CAAAGATCATTATGGTTTTACAGATACTCAAATCAACAACATTCCTAACCTACTGAAAATCCAAGATATGTGGTGTCCAAATGCATAAACAGACTATGGCCCTTATTCTCCAAAAACTCAATGTTTACCCTACTTTTTTTTTTATAGAGCCTTTCCCAAATACATGAAAGCAAGCATTTCCATCTGGAATATATGAATTAAAGATTATATACATGAATCTGAATATAATGATATGAAAATGGCAGTACTATCAGGACAAAAAACTGTGACTCATTTTAGTAATAAAATTTACTTATAAGGGCTGAATCATCAACAACAAAAAGGTTGTGGTCTTAATTTGATGAAATAAAAGCAGAGAAATAAAAAATGCATGCTCTCTTAAGTCTTTGATTATATTGAATCTTTAACATTCCTATCATGTTTTAAAATAGATATTATAAATCCTATGAGCATGCAATTATTGCTTTTAAAAGTCTAAAAGAGTAAACTGGAAAACTCATTAGCAGAACTAAATGTGATGTTGGGACTTCCCATCTTTCCTGACCATGCTGTGATGTCACACGCTTCAGCAGAGAGCAGCTGGGCGAGTCTAGCGCTTCCTTGCCACGGCAGGGGAAGGAACAGAGCCGAGAATCATGCAGGCCAGTCAAAATCATTTAGAAAGTGATTGTACATGTGCAACTTGCTTGGGTAACCTGGGTAAAAGTGGTGGCACGAGCCTCTGGCTGGTTAAAAAACACCAGAGCTGCGTTCCTGATGGCTCCAGCTTGATTTTACCCCTGTGAGAAGTAAGAATGGTAAGCAGTGAAGGTCACAGGATGACATTGCCAGACTGAATTTGGAATTCAACTTCAAATATGATTGTTAAAAGCATTTATTCTATATCCTTCACTTAGGAAGACAAATCAATGACCTCTTAAGAAGTATGTTTTAAAGATATATAGTTACATAAAAATGCTAAGAAATCATGATGTTGTGAAATTTAGAATGCTAAAAAAACCTTCTACAATAGAGTTTGTTGCAAGATTTTGTACAATTATAAGTTTTCTGAGAAGAAAAAAAATATCTATTTTGAAATCTATGCCTTCGGTTGTCTTACATTATTTTTTCATGCAGTGCTTTATATTTATTTCCATTATTTTCATACCTGCCTATTTATGTTAGTGGTATACGTATATACAAATATAATATGCACACTTTTTAGAATACATATTATGTAATTTATGAAATAAGAGCAGTTCGTATTTTCATCTCTAAAAACTCCTAGGGATCATTTATCCCATGCTATCCATGCCAGGCAGACTTTATTTGAAAATGAGAGAAAGAAGAGAGGAGATGGAGTTTTCACATACCACCTAAGTTAAGGAGTTAATTTACTGCTTCCTCTTAAAACAGAAAATATGTATATTTTTTTTGTAACATATTTATTTTTTTATTTGTTCTTTTTAGATATACATGCAGTGGAGTGTATTTTAACATATTATACATTACTGGAGTATAATTAGAATCCCATTCTTGTGGTTGTATTCTTTTTTCTTTTTCCTTTTTTTAGTGGAAATATATAACCTATACTTTGGTTAGGTTTAGCTTATATGGTTGCTCAGTTTGTCAGCAAAGAAAAGGAATGTTCTGTGTTCTCCAAAGCAGAGCTCAATATTTTTTTTTTTTTTTTTTTTTTTTTTGTAGTTTGACCAAACATCTCGGAAGCATGAATCAAAAGTCCACTACTTGTGTGTGTGTGATACCTTTTTAAAAAGCCTAACAATGGAAGCAAATGCAAAACTGAAATGTGATCAGTCATCAGTTTTTGGAATTTTGGATCAAAATTGTTTTTCGTTGGAACTAAATAGTTGAACCTGCTGATCTTTTGCTTTTATTTTTCAAAAYTGCTTTTTATCTTGTATGTGAGCACAGATGAGAATTGCCCTATTACTTGTTTAGAATGTTTTGTGTACTAATTTGAGCACATCAGCCATATATAATTATTGTTGAATTTAGTATTACTGTGCAAGATCATTTGAAAATTTCTTCTTTCTTTATAAAAACATATAATTTCATATGTACTTTTGATGATTTTCCACTAATATATTTTTATAATGTAAACAATTTCATTTTGTTCTGTAATTGGATTCCATGTATTCAAAATTAGCTTAAAAGAAAAATTCACCCAATAAAATTTTTTTGTTCAAGTAGTAAATGTTTTGAAGGACTGATGATGAGGAAAAGACTATCTCAATATTCCAAATTTGTAGTTTGAGGCACTGAGAAGAAATATCTGTAGCCTTAAGAAGGTTTTGAAGTATTTTGAAATCCAGCTATTTGGTAGAAAGAAATTAAGATATTTACTTTTTATAAATGTGATGTCACAAAACCTTAACTTAACAAGTTTCTTTAACTCTTTGACTTTTCTTGACCCTAAGCTACTCATGCTATTTTGTCCCTAATCTTCTCTCAATTTTGCTTTACAATTAATTCTTTGGTGAGCACTTCTGTTTTCAGGGAACCAAATTATTATCAAATATATATCAAAATAAATTATTATCAAAATAATATCAATTTCATCAAATCTATTTTTAACCCTGACTTCTTATTCAGACTCTAATTCCTAACACCATCACCTCTAATTCAGCATAATTATCTCATGGTATCCTTGAGGCTCAGTTTCAGGACCCCCTCCCAATACCAAAATCTGTGGGTGTGCATGATATAAATGTGCTTAGTATTAGCATATGACCCATGCACCCATATGACCTTATATTTTAAGTCATCTTTAATACCTAATATCATGTAAATACCAAATAAAGAGATGTTATGCTATATTTTAAGGGAATAATGGGAAGATAAAATGTCTGTTCATATTAAAATTTTAAAATTTTATTACTGATCTGAGTTTGGTTGAATCTCTGGATGTGGAATCCACAGTTATGGAGGGCTGATCTCTCTCCCACATAAAATGTGTAACCTTTTAAAAAGGCCATTCTATACAGTAGCATTGACATTTTCCTGATTTCCTGGATTCTTTAGGTTTGTGAAATTACCAGTTATAGTTACTCATGATCCTAGCCCCAAATGTCATTATCTCATTGCTATGAAATGATCACTACCACACTCTCCAAGATAATCTCTCTTACCTCTCTGAATTGTTTGCTTTTGATACCAAATAAATATTTCCAATCATTTTCCTATTTCCTTCCTCTCTTTCAGAACAAATTCCTTATTGATTAAGCAGGCAATTCCAAATTCTGACTTACTTCAAAACTTTACAGTCTTCACCAATACTTTATTAATAATGATTGTTTCACATTCTTACTTTAATACCAAGAGCTCACTCTCAACTTTGGCTTTCCTTTTGAAAGTTTCTACTTTTTATTTTCTGTTTGTCTGTATTTGACCCAAACTTTCAGGCCTATTTCAATTTTATCTCTTCCATTTGACAACTACTCYTGCTGTCCTCAACACTTACAACTTTATATGCAGTCCTGCAACATTAAACTTTTAAACAGGTCTTTAATAATTTTGTGAAAAGTGTTAGCTCACTCAAAGATGTTAAGATCTCCCTGAAGGAGAATTATAAAGCTCTTCTTTAACTCTTCCTTACCCGTATTATCCAATAGAGTGCAAATTCACAAAAAGTGGTCAATAAATGCTTGTTAATTAATTGGTGTTTCTTCTTAAAGAAATCTATATCAGATGATGGAAAATGAAATTAGAATTAAATTCTTAGTTTACCAGAAGGAACAATATAAATTAGAAGTGAACTCATCAAGCAGACTTTAGAGAAAGAATATTGCTACCTCATTTTGTAAATACTTCTACTTTTTTCAAAATTTATTTTAAAATTTACTATCATATTTTAGCAGCTTTGAAATACTTGGAAAAAATCAGGAAGTTATGAGTGGTAACATTGTCAGTTACTTATTTGAAGGAATTCAGATCAAATATGTTGGTATACTTATTTTTAAAAAGAAAGTTCCAAAATGTGCTCACAAAAATCAGACATCATTGGTCTGATTCCCATGGTGTCAACATTATACCCTCAAGCTAAAACAAGTCTTTTATAACTCCATCTGTGCTAGATTCGCTTCCAAGTTTATATAAGAAGATCATAAATAAATAATACTAAAAGTTTAATCCTGTTCTTCACAGCACAGAATTGAAGAATTGATGACATTAAACTACTATCATAAGACCCTATGAATTCTAACCATGAGATATGTACATTTTCCCTTCCTTTTCCTCCTTCCTTCCATCCTTTCCAACTAGTAATGACAGTAACAGCAGATTTTCCATATACAGTTTAACTGTAATCCTCAAATGGCACTTTTATAAGTAGTTAACTAACTTAGTATTTTCAAGTTAATCTGGAAGACTTTATCATGCAAATGTGCTCATCTTTGACAAGACAAATGAAATCAGTACTATTTGAACTTTCCTAATAAATATAATATTTCCATGAATATAATACTTTCATAAATAAAGCACTCTATCAAAGTGAGTAAAGAGGTGAACAGAAATACACAATACTTTTGTATTAAGAATCATAGCAAAACCTAATATAGAAAAGAAGGAGATAACACTAGCATAATTATAATAACCATAGTTCACTGATTTTTCACAAGAGCATAATGTAGTATARAGTAGACTTTATTAAGTAAAACTCTTTTTATGTAAAGCTCCATTTTCAACCAAACTTTCCAACTAATGAGAAAATGACCACACTGATTGTTCAGAATGGCGATTTGCTGTGGAATGCTGAAATCTCTATGGACTTCCCAATTTCTCATAATTTTAATTACCATATGACTTCTATATTACTTTTCTTTTCAGTGCTAGGATCAAACTCAGAATCTTACTCATACTAAGCATGCACTCTACCACTGAACTACATCCCAATCTCCATATTAATTTTTAATAATGCACCTAAACACAGTAAAACTACTGAATAACCATACTGTGTGGCTCTTACAGGAAATACAACCAAAACTTACAAGCATTCTTACCTCTTTGCTTTCTTCTAGTTCTGACTCGCTGCTGAACTCTTCAGTATTTAAGTTTTCAAAGTCAGACTCTCCAACAGCAATTGGCACTGTTACAGTGAGGCTGGGGTTGTTTATGAACGACATATAATCATTTTCATCAATTACGTATTTTTCAACACTGCTTCCAGTACCTACACCACTGGTGGTTCCATTTCCATCTTTAAGATAATTAATCTCTTTGCTTATTTCAATTCCAGTGTTATTGGACATGCAGCTGTCTATTTTGTTGCCTTCATGGATTTCTATGACTTTTGGCTTTCTAAAGAAAGCTTTTCGGAAACATTCCCGTATCTTATTTTTCACATAATCGATTCCCTTTTGCATTCTTCCTACTGCAATTTGGAGATTGTTCATTTCATTATCATCATCAGTAGCAGCAAGGTTGTCTGAGCTGAAAGAACTCAACAATAAGGCCAGAAAGAGGTTCAGAACCTAAAAGAAAAGAAGAAGGCAAAAAGTTCTATTAGTATTGAAGTATGTGTAAAAATAACAGGCTAAACAGGGAACTCAGATCTTAGCTAAAATTATTTTAACAAATGCTTCTTGAATGCTTATTATATTTCAGACACCATGTGGAAATCACACACTATTTAAAGGACCAGATATCGTCTACCTGCTGTAAAGGCAAAACTGAAAAACAGGCACCTCTTCCTTCTCACAGAGAACACTAAGAAAGGAGATCTAAGGTTTAAATGGTATCGACTCAGACTTTTCAGTAAGAAGTCAAAACCTCATGTTTAAAGATTTGCCAAGAAGAAAAAAATATACTTCAGTTTTAATCATTTTACTGTATCTTACCAGTTTGTCTAATCAATGTCTAGCTTCATGTGTATAAATAATAAACTTATTTCTTTAATAGCCTTCTTATCTTTACATAAACAATATACTTGAAATACAAATTCCTTACAAATTACTTTTGTAACAGTAGAAATTTCTAAATGCAAATTATATAAGGCTCAACACATTTCCCATCAAATATACTTTGAAATTTATGTGTTCAAATATCTCAACAGATGGAGAAAAATCTAAAATTATTCAAAGGTTTAGGCTAGACCCATATAATGTAAATTACTTTTTTCCCTCATTTTTGTTGAGAAAATATGAGGAAATGTTAATTCTCAGAGTGTCATCAGGATACATAGAAAAATTACCCAATTAACCAAACAACTATAGCAGTACAGGAGTAATTCCCAATTTCTGGTGTAAAAGGAAATTTATTTATAGGAATATTTTTAGCTTGAAATGTAATTATTGAGTTCCAGCATATGTTACATCATAGACAAATGCAAAGCTAGAATCCTATCTCATTTCCTTTTCTCTGTATCGGATACTGTTAAGAATCTGAAGCTTTCTAATTTACTATTCTGGGGGCAAAATTTCCATGTTCACAGGTATCTCACTAGTATTGTTTTGAGTAATTTTTTTGTTTAAAATGTATTCTTAAAGGGAAGGATTAATAAGACTGTGCAAAGAAAAACTTTGTCTACACAAGACTAAGAAATTCAAGCACTAACACATATATACAAATTTTACTTTCACATTATTGCTTTTAAGTAATAGCTAAAAGTCAGTCTTTTAAATCTGATCAATGTCCATGCATATGAATAAATCAAACTGCAATAATTTATTTTTCTTTATTAAAGCAAATTTAGGGAATAACATATTTAGTACTCTGGTAAATTATTTGGATAATTATACTCCACAGCTAAAATATAATGCTCTATTTCATTGAATTCGTCTTCAAAATTTGCTAGTATGAACCCATGCCCCTGAGTTAGCAAACAATATGAACTATAGACATGTAAAAAGGAACTTCAATATAGAATGCATAACTATTTTAGGTTCAGTGGAGATTGTCTTATGAAACTAACATTAGGATAATATTAGTCTTAATAATAAAATGCATTTTTGAAGAATTAGGTAAAAGCAAATTGGTATTTATGACTTCTGAGCTTTCATTAGATAGACCTCACTTTATTCTCATATCAACCATGTGATTTTAGTTTTGTTATTCCAGGGTCAAAGATAGGGAGCCTCAGTCTCAGAGAAGGTAAGTAACTTTCCATTCTCAGAGGGCCAGTAGGAGGATTTGAGACTAAGTCATTTACTATAAAATCATACATATGTTTGCCACTCTGGTCTTCTTTATCTACTAATACTRTTTTTTTATGATGAGCATGTGTAACACATACATACCACAAGGTTCCCAATGACCATGACCAACATGAAAACAATAAGGCACATGGTTTGACCAGCAACCTCCATACAGTCCCACATGGTCTCTATCCACTCTCCACACAGCACTCGGAATACAATCAGAAAGGAGTGGAAGAAGTCGTTCATGTGCCATCGTGGGAGCGTGCAGTCTTCATTGATCTTGCAGACACATTCTTTGTAGCTCTTTCCAAAGAGCTGCATGCCAACCACGGCAAAAATGAAGACAATGATGGCCAACACCAAGGTGAGGTTTCCCAGAGCCCCCACGGAATTGCCAATGATCTTTATTAGCATATTCAGTGTGGGCCAGGATTTTGCCAACTTGAAAACTCGAAGCTGTAATCAAATGGAAAGATATTCTGAGTGTTAACCGTGACATAATTTTGGAAGTTACCATCATTTTACAAGTATATGACATTGTAAACCCATGCCTGTTGAATAAACTTATGTTTCTTCATACTAAATTAATTCAACTTCAAATCCAGAAAAAATAGTGTCAATAATACTAGAATCATAAATTAGATCATATTATTTAAAAGCAAAAAAATTTAAGACTCATTTCTGATTTATCAAAAGATATAAACATGAACACAAATTGCTACTTTCATTGGAAACATTTTAAAATTTATCAACTAATGTCTCTTCAGACTCTATTTTAGAAACTGAAAATAAACATCAAAGCTATTAATTATGTATTCTTCATAGACCATTATAAAATGAAAGTGAAACAAATTACTTTGTTGAAAAGATAGAAAGTCTTTCTTTCAATTTGAAAAAATATACACATATACTTAATTTCTAATAAAAGCCTACATATTTTAATATAAATGTTTTCCTATAATTCAGAAAAGTTTCTATACTATTTAAAACGCTAAAGGCATCAAATAATTTTCTGAATCTTGTTCAAAAGTAGTACCTACTAATATCATAGAGTTGATAAAAATTTAAGATTAATACAGGCCCACCATTTTTATTTGCATTTCTTTACATACTATAATGCAAAAAAAACCCCAGAAATTTACGACATAAAAGTGTTCTTTATATATCATCCTTATAAAGTGTTTCAACCACTTTTATTTTTCTTTGAAAATATTCTTGGCTTTAAAGAGAATGCTTATGTATTTTCTTAGGATATCACATATTGATGTAAATTATAACATCATTACAAAAGCTGAAGTAAGTTGTAAATATACATCTCATAATATGTTATTCAAATGAGAGATGTGATGTAAATGTAGGGTATGCAGGTACCAGTCTGAAGGATCGCAGTACAGACAATCCCTCCACATTTGCCAGACCCAGCTCCATTAAACTCAGGCTGACAATAATTCCATCAAAGATATTCCAGCCTTCTTGGAAATAATAGTAGGGATCCATGGCAATGATCTTGAGAACCATTTCTGCTGTGAAGATCCCAGTGAAGACCTAAAGTAAAATAGAGAGCAGCACTTCAATGGCACTGAAAAATGTTGGTGCTTCAGGATTTTATAAAGAAGAATGTTAATGAGTAAAAATATTTAAACTTTAAATTTAGCATCAATTCAAGTTTAACATTCCCCAGCAAGGTAGTAATTTGTTAGGTGGGTTTGGTTCAGTTAACAAATTGGCTGGATTTCCAGGGAAAATATAGATGTTAAAAAATTTCACCATTCACGTTTTAAATTTGATACTGAATAATAGCTACTGAATTACTGCCCTTTGGTACACTATGCTTCTACATGCAGATTTATTTGGGGGAATAATTTTGTATCTGGAACAAATCTAAAAGTTAATGAAAATTAATAAAAATTAGTTAAATTTTGGTTAAAATATATATTTTGTTCTAGATTTTGTGTTTTTAAAACAAACAGTGTTTTAGTTTTATAATTTTATAAACATTCCTAAAAGAAGATTATTTTAAAATAATAATCTTTGGGTGCATGCCTCAGAATTAAGGTTAATGAATTAATAGAGCACAGAACTAGAGATTTACTTGAAATCATCAAGAGTACAAACTAAGTATGCATATACCCATAATTATGATCAAGAAATTATTTGAGTGGCTAGATAAAAATGTGTATTTGATAACAAAAAGAAAAACAATGAAAGACAGTTAACATTGTTTTTTAACTTAAAACCACAGGTGAAGCCAGGTGCCCTTGCTTATGTCTATAATCCCAGTGGCTCAGGAAGCTGGGGCAGGAGGATGAGTTCAAAGCCAGGCTCAGCAAGGGCGAGGTGCTAAGCAACTCAGTGAGACCCTGTCTCCAAATAAAACACAAAAAATAGGGCTGGAGATGTGGCTCAGTTGTTGAGTGCCCCTGAGTTCAATCCCTGTTTTTTTAAAAATGACAAAAACAAAAACCCACAGGTGAAGATATACAAGGACATGAAGAGTTATGGAATTACTCTTGCAAAAAGTCTTTTAAAGCAATTTTCTTAATTCTCTTTTAAGAAAGACTGCATTTTATGATCACAAAGTTCAGCTTTAGTAAATCAGACTTTGAAATTGAAGGAATTATGTTAAAGTAACAATATTATTAAAATTAGTTGGTGCTCTAAAACATCACATTAATTTAAAAAGAAATCTTGACCACTCTTATAAAAGTAATGTAGCTAACATCTCATTTTCCTAATTCCAGCAAGATCTAAGGAAAATGGCTATGCCAGAAAAGAACTTCACTGCTGTTAGTCATGAATTCACTTAACCAGGAATAAGATGCATTTTAAGACATGAAAATCTAGGAACATAATGGAATTAATTTTGAAGAATATATATATATATATATATATATATATATTTCATTTTATTAATAAGAACAGCTCACCATGGGATTTTTTTTCAGATTGTGAGTTTCCCTAGTGAATTTAAGTTCTAACTTACACAAATTTGATTTCTTATATAAGATTTTCAGAACAGCTATTATTTGAACAAGGCACCCTGTCAATAGGAATGCGTTAAAGTGAGATAGATATTCTCTATCTAAATGATCTTCAAATATCTCTTCTTAGAAAATCATGAGGTGATCTTTTTAGGTCTTCTGAAATGACTAAGTCTCCTACATTTAAAAACCTAAATTCATTCTCTTTAAAAACCTAAATTTATTCTCTTTCATCCAAAACATAATACTACCGTGCAACTTCTCTTTATAAATATTGCAGTTACAATTTGCAATTAAAAATAAAAGCAATATCATTTTGAATGCTTTTAATTTAGGCTTCCAAATCATTGTTTTTGATACATTTTAGTCTGGATTTAGCATTGTCAGATTGGCTGGGAAAGTTTATATGATGAAGAGGTTATCTAACCTACTATGACTGGTGGTCTCTTTCTAGCTTTTAGAGAAGCTGAGGAAGGATGAGTTTTAAAATAGCTTAAAAACAACAACAATAAAAAATGAGTTCCTATAAAAACACATAGTTTTCTTATAGAAACTCAGTGCAGATTTGATGTCTTCCAGATACTCAAATTTGATTAAACTAATCAGCAAAGAACTGATTGAATTTTTATGTACTGCAAGAACAGGATACAAAAAGGGGCACTTTAATTCAAGACTAAAGGATTCACAACTCTTTTGCGTTCTTTTGTTATTGCTTCAACCAAAACCTTTAAATATTCATCTATAAGTCAGTATGAACTCATTGGWGCAGCAATAAGCCAGTCCACAGATGTTCAAATATTTTAAGGGGCAAACTAGAAACTCCACACAAAATATGCCATACTACCACCAAAATGGTATAATATAGTTTGAAGTCAGCTAAGTACACATGAAATACTTTCCAACTCTTTTCCTCACTATATAAAAAATATATATATATATTATTTTTCATATGTATAAATATTACAAGGTTGTTGTGAGTATTAAATAAGATACATATAAATTATAGTCAAATTACTTTTGAAATTAAGCTATGACTTATTGATATGTTAGTATTAATTATAATGAGGTTTCAGTTCACAGAGATAGAGATCATAAATTTTCTTATTCTCATAGTTGGATCATTCAAGTCTATTTCCTGATATCTATCCTTTCCATCTTCATGAGCCTGTTTCCCCAACACTAAACTGAATTACTGATGGTTCCATTACCAGCAATCTACTAGTCATCAGTTCCCTGTTCTACTCCACTACCTCATTACTTAGGTCACCACCATAAAGTCATGGAATTGTAGATATAGGAGGAAATGAAGTTCGCTAATCCAACACAGTCATTGATTATGTGTGTTGAGAAAACAGACCCAAGGATATTAGTGATCTTTTTCAGAACCACACAGACACCTAGCATTGACTCTTGGACTAGGATGCAGATTTTGTGCTTTAGATCAGTGTTTTTCCATTTGTTTACCATAAAATCCAACATCTATTTATCTTGTGCTTCCATACTCAATTGGAAGTCCATAAAACCTCAATTTCCTGCTCTATTCTGACAAATTTCCAAAATATTCTTCACCTATTCAATTTCCCTAACTGTCCAATATCCTGGGAAAAACACAAGAGCTAGGACAGAAATATTTTCCATCAGTGTTTCAAAGAAGGGTTCAAGAGGTTAATAGCATATATAAAAGGAAGGAGGAAGGAAGCTGTTTAATGAGCACATGCTACATGCCAGGCGCAGAGATAGGTGTTTTCACATTACCTCATTCGACCTTCACAAAGGCTCTCAAAGATCGGTATTATTACATCCATTTCAATAATAGAAAACCAAGACTCAGATTGTTTGTTACACTTTTCCATAGCCCATATTATTAGTAAACATGGGCTACTATGGTCAAAACCAATTTTGCCTGACTTAGGAGCTTGTGTTCTTTCACAAAAATATGCATTTCCAAGCAGCTCTTTGGGGATAGAATCATCCAGTGGATTCTTTATCAAGTGACCACTATGTGAGCATAGTTGGAGCCACAAAAGAAAAATGTGTCATGACCTCTGCCATTGAGTAATTTATAAGAGACTGAAAATCCAAACTCAAGGTATAATATTCAACCTTGAGTTATTCACAAGAGTATTAGGAGTTAAGAATGTTCATATGGACTGAGTATCATGTTAGAGGAGATGTCACTGAAGTTGGACCTTAAAGAACACAAAAAATTGAGATGAGTGAGAACATTGCAAATATGAATGTAGAGAACAATAACAGATAAATATTTTGTTACATGTACATATATAAATATGTGTGTGGTATTTATATTTGTGTAGTATATATGTGGTATAGCTCTCAGAGATGGGTACAAGGTTCTTCTGATGGGGCTGTTTTGACTGTTCAGGAAACAATGGAGATTAGTACTAGAAATATTATTTTACAAGTAGTTTTACAACAAAAAGACATACCTTGAAAGAAAAAATAATGGGTCTTCATATCAAGTTTATATAAGAAATAAAGGAAAAGTAAGCCGTAATATAATATTCCTACCTTTGGAGCCAGAAGGTCACTAGTTTAGGTAATAAAAAATTTAAATGATGTTGACAGTACTTCTAGTAAGCTGTGGGAAAGATGATCTTCCAGCTGTGCCCTGATTTTATCTAAAGTAATCCTTGAGCTATGATCTGTAACAGTTGTAAATATAGGACTTGAACAAAAGTTATACCACTAGAGCAGGTAATTCCTAGCATTGATGAGTGAAAAACATACCTTAATAGGAATCAGAAGAAAAGTTCAAAAACAAACAAAAGGTAAATTAGGCAGGGATGGTGGTACTGGAAAGATCAAGGAATGCATCAGGAAAAAAACCTGAGCATCACAGGTGCTAAAGATGGAGAACATGGTGGGTACTCTCCTGAATCTAATAGTGCAGAAAAGTTGAAGTGACTTATTAAGGAATACTGCAATTGTCTGCTCAGAATTCCTTTCACCCCATCTGTTGGGAATTCTTCCTCCACTTGCTTGATGCCTCAGGGCTGCCATATGCTGCCAAGGCTGACGAAGAGGAGGTGGGCAGCTACCAACCTATGCCCAACACACTTCTATCATGAAGGTCATTGAATTGGAACTCAAAAAGAGATCTAATCTTTTTCTATTGCAGAGGATAGAAGATGTAAAACCTGTGTTCACAGCTGTGGCTGAATGTTTTCTGCCCTGACTACAAAAGACACAGTCAGTGTTTGGGCTACATCCAAGAACTGTTCCTGAAACCCAACTGCAAAAGCCCCTTTACAAAGCTTAGTGATTCACCTTTTCTTTTCATTCTGTGAGTCAGTCTCCCCCACCCCTCCAAACGGKGTTGAATTAGTAAAGAGGAAGATCTTGATAAATTATCTATGTCCATCCTAACTCATAACATCCTGTTGAAACCAGTAGGGAAGAGATGGTGGGAGAGAGGGGGAATCAGAGGAAAGAAACTAACACTTTCATGGATTAGACATTTCATTTAAAATGAATGAAATAGCTTTTTTTCCCACTGATTAGAGACCTTAGGCTCAAATAATAACTTTCAAAAAGCACACAGGTATTAAAAGCCTTAGGAACATGCTGTTTGGGAGGTGTTACCCTTATTAGTAACTTTCTGTTAAAAAGAAGATGGAGATTTCTAATGTGAAATTGATACTAATAATAAGTTCTCTGCCTTCAGGCCTGAGAGAATGCTTCTAAAACACACTAGATAGTCACAATTGGAAGTTCCTGAACCTCAAAGCTCTGATCAGATCCCTAGGATCAGAAAGAATGATGCTATTACCTTTAGGGCTTAATACACCAAACATCATCCATCTTCATTGATGACTCTATCACCCACAAGGAAACAATGTACTCCGGTTATATACTACTATTCAGAAACTACAAAAGGAATTGCTTATCCCATATATTTTTATCTGAAACATTTCCAGGTATTAGGCACTAAAGATACCTTAAAATAAAATAAACATAATCACTGATATTTGGCTATGATCTTTTCTTAAGATAGTCTTAAGTACTAAAACCGAGTGTTCAATTATAAATAAGGGTAATTTTTATGAGGAAAAGATATTTGGTATTTTTTTCCTTTGAAATCAACTTTATTGGCCCATAAGTTTATTGGCAAATAAGTTAAGGGTGCAGTTGGATGAAATGAAGTTTTGATTTTTTGTTTTTCAGGTACTGGGTATTGAACGCAGGGTTGCTTTACCCCTGAGCTACATCCCTGGCCCTTTTTAATGTTAAGACAGTTTCACTAAGTTGCCAAGGCTGGCCTCAAACTTGGGATCCTCCTTCTTTAATCTCCAGAATCTTTGGGGTTATATCCACACACCACTGCTTCAGGTAAACGCAGTTTTGAAAAATGTCTATGCCTATATCTCCACTACTGTCTTTGTGGTGAGGACTGAAGCAGGTCTGAAGGTAAATCTTGAGTACACATGGTAAGAGAAACTTTCAGACCTCAACATGGATCTCTGTTATTACTTATGGACTTTTCTGAAGAAAAGAAGAATGGATCTTCCTTTTCATTCCACACTGCCATTCTCTGAACATTTAAATCTGGGTGCAGAACCCATGACCCCAATCTCCCATCATCTAACAAATGCCCTAAGACAGATCAGATCTGTCTTCATGGTGCTTTTGACCAATAGATTTGGAACACATCCAACGCTGGCAGCAGTGACATTCTTAGCCAGCAGCTTCAACCTTCTGCAAATGCGGAAGCATGTTTGGTTTTGTATCTTCCGATGTTNACTCCCAATTTTTACCCCAAATGCAGATTGCAGAATCACGTCGGTTACACATTCACAATTTTACATAATGCCCTATTAGTAACTGTTGTATTCTGATACCTTTCCTATCCTCTACTATCCCCCCTCCCCTTCCCTCCCATCTTCTCTCTCTACCCCATCTACTGTAATTCATTTCTCTCCTTGATATTTGGTATTTTGAAGGTAAAAACTAAGCAAAACTGTCTAACACAGAGAGATCACAGTAGCCAAACTTGTTCATCCATTTTAATTGTTTTCCTTTGCATGTAGATTTAGGAGGAAATGTACGTTGGCAAAAAGATGTATGCTCAAGTAATTTGGATCTTAAATAGGGCTAAATTACAAATGCATTTTTGCAATTTGTTTTCTTCCATGACTATCACTTAAGCAATTCATTAATTTGAAACAATTATGCTTGTCCCTTTCCCCATTTAAAGGAAATCCAAACCTTGGTCCAATAGACATAATTTCTTTAAAACGTGTGTCTGTTAATGCTATCACCTTAGGACTGATAATCAGGATCTTGTGATTCCTCTGGACCTACATTTTCAGTAAAAAATAGAAGATTGTGAGGAGTTTATTTATTACTGTTGACACCATGATCAGTCTGCACCAACGTTAGCCTCAACAATCAGCATTGATAGTGGGTGAATTTTAGAATATATCTCCTAGATTCTCTGTAATATTCCTTTAACTGTTTTTTTCTTATGAAGAAAGAATATGTAATTTGGGGGGTTAGAACACAGGACACACGTCTCCTCACAACCTTTGGTCTACCTCTTCTACCCCTACACAGGAAATAAGTAAATTTCAAATGAACTTACCAGGTTTCCTACAGTTAACACGCTACTGAATTGGTCAGTCATGGGGTAGTGTTCCATGGCCATAAAAAGGGTATTTAAGACAATGCAAATAGTGATGGCAAGATCAACAAATGGATCCATGACAATTAAATTCACAAGATGCTTTACTTTTAACCAGGCATCGCAGCAATCCCAGATCAAGAACACATTGGCAAATCTATACCAGCAAGGTGGACATTTCTGTCTAGACTCTTCAAGTTCTAGGAGGATAACAAAAAAGAGTAGTAAGTAACAATAAAAATGAATTATTGTTGCTAGTAGACTACATATTGTTTGACAAAATTGATGCTTACTTGGGAAAAAAATTCATATTAGCTTAACAAACTTGACAAGACAGTCCTACTAAATAGACTTTCTCTTTTGAACACAGAAAATAAACACTTCGATCATTTTTATTCAAAATAATAATTAAAGAGAAAATTTTATATTCTCTTTATCAAAATAAGCATCACAGCAATATTAAACTTAGCAAAACATCATTGTTTCTTGTAAAAGTGCCCTTTAAAGAACATTGTCTAAAGCTATGATCCTCATTAAGATCTATAACCTATTGTTTCCTCACATGAACATTGATCTTGTATAGAATGAGAACATGTCTTTCTTCTTTGGATTCAGATCCAAATCTACACTCCCCTTTATTCATATAGTTGAGAATTCTAGCCTCATACATAAACAAATTACTGGTAATTTTAATAAATGAAGCCTGCTATAAAATTATTATGGGACTATTTGAATATCTAATATGCTAACAGGACAAATAAGAAATGCAATTGATATTTTCTAAAAAAATCTGTTAGAATGTATCCATATAATTTATTTACAAAAGTGCAGTACTAATGTAATATTGCACCAAATTTCAAGAAGTAGGGACTTGTTTAAAATGTAAATAAGGGAGTAGTAGTTGCTGTCCATTCCTGTGTGTTAAAACCAATGAGCATTCATGTCAAGTGTCCTTTGAAAGAATGTCATGTTTGCTGTGTATGTGGAATATGGAAGAGAGAAAATTTTAGGATTTTTGTTGCAATGTTTTGATCTAACTCATTCTCATCCTTCTTCCAATCCCATAACCACTGCCCTGTACTTCTACACATTCAGATTTTACAAAGGAAGTGCTCACATAAAGTATAGTGTATCATTAGATTAGATCTTCACTGATGCAATATCAAGGGTAAATTATCATTCTAAGGCTGGAAATGCAGTAGTGCCAATAGTGCTAGCTTGGTATGCAGAAGGCTCTGGGTTCAATCCCTAATACTGCAAAAAACAAAACAAAAAGGGTAAAGAGTATCTCTCCATAGATAAGATGAGGACTTAAGTAGAAAAGAAATAGGCTAATGTCAGTTTTTGTGATAATAACATGCTACAATTTTTACATGTACATGTCCATAATGCAGTTCTGCTCTTAGGGGAAAACAAAACAAAGAATTCTCCAAGAAGAAAGAATAGCTCCACAAAGCATACTATCTATAGAGAGCTGAGCATCCCCCTCCTCGCCCTGCCTGCTTCTTACCCTCCATTGTGTTGGTCAGGATGCTGGCTATACTCATGGCTCTTTGCCTTCCAGAGGAATCCTCCAGCATTTCCATTGAAATCTGGTAAGAACTTAGCCTTCTCTTTCTGACTTCCGTTTCAGTGGTGGTACCCTGCAAACCAAATACTGATGGCTCAAACCACCCTTTTAAAAAGGTAATACAAGAACACATAACACTTCCTTGGAAAATCATGCTGCATGCAATTTTTTTTTCAGGTAATCACTTTCAAGTAATAATAAAATATTGAATTTATTATTATATTATAAACACTTTTTGAAGGCAATATTACAGGTGATAYCTTTCGACAAGAATTCACCAGTTGGATGAAATTGTATAAGGCAACCATGTCACAAAATATTTTAATTAACATGTCAGATTTTTCAGGGAAAATTTTTATAAGCATGCTAAAATACTATTTAATTCAAATGCAAATTATATTTTCAGCTTACAGAAATGATTAACACTCAGATCAATATTCCCCCAAGATAAATACTATGATTATATAGTCTCAAGGATAAATTATCTTCTCTGAGGCTATATTGACAATATCAACATATATGGGCCAATTTTTTTCCATGCACAAACACAGATGTACAATGAAATGTGTGTGCTTTCCTGAGATTTCTTCAATTATTTCTATATGCCATCCTACAAGAAATTAACACATTTTACTTTAGAGTCATTTTAAATTGTACTATAATATTGACAGTTGTATGAAAACTGCCTATTATCAATATATTAGTCATACAATATTTAATTATTTTAGGAACAAGAACTTTTCAGAATATAAATAAATAGATAATTTTATAATTTCGGGTGAACCTATCTAATCTATGTCTATAATAAATTTGATTACCAAAGTGCTTAACATTTTGTGTTGGGAAGTCTACCAAATTTGCAGGTTTGGGTTTCATTCCAGACTCTAAAAATTAAGTTCTTTTAACATAAAGCATTTGAAAGGTAATGGTTGCATACAATTCAATTGGTTCTCAATATTCTATTGTTTTCCATTCATGTATTATTTGTAAGGACTTTAATTTTGGGGAAATGAGATGGTATAACAGGCTAAACTGCCCAGGCCTTGGATCATTTTGAATTGATGTACAGTGTCAGTAGCAGCTAGTTTATCTATTATCACCTCTGGCTGAAGTTGTCCAGTAGGTGACGTTAGAGCTGATGGTCCACCCACCAAGGAAACCACACCATTGCAATCCACAGTGCTGTGCATCTTCCCATTTGCTGGAAGCCCTGGCACCATCCTGGATGACATACTGGCCTGACTAACGTTACTGTTGCGTCGCTCTCCATGTCTGTGAGGCACAAACAGTGAGTCTCTCCTGCTCTCGCTGTCTTCAAATGTGCTGTGCTCATCATCAGCAAAGTCATTTTCAGATCCAACATCCTTTGTCCGACCTCTGAAGCTGAAAATGCTAGTTTTGCTATTGCGTCTTGGGGAAAACAGGGATCCACGGATACTCAGCAGAGACTGTGGAGAAAGCAAGGAAGAAAGGAATTGGGGGCAAGGGGTGGAGTAGGACACAGTTATTTAATAAAAATCTTAATATTGTAGAAATGATTTGCTTTTGCGCTAGAGTAATCTTACTCTTAAATATGGGCAATCAGTTTATAGGAAACATGTGTTTTGATATTTTTATTAATGACCATAGAATGATTTAAGTGTTGTTCTAAGAATCCTGATTTGCAATTCCACCAAGTGCACAACCTCACTCTAGTATGAGACAGATTGCATTACCATGCTATAGTAGGCAAGGGTTTAGATGCTGGAAAGGATAAATGATTCTTTTTTAGGGTGCAAGTGCCACTATGATCTGAAGGGCTTGTGACTTGGAAAATAGGTTTTGGCTCAGTGGTTTGAATTTTAAATTCAACCATTTTACATTTTGATAATTATAGTATTGAAAGAATACCATTATTTCTCCATTCTCTTTTCTGGATTCTAAAATCAAGATCTTCTATGGATCTGTCTGATTCTATCCACAAAGGAATAAAAGTCACAAAACTTTACCTAAATGCTGTATTCCAAATTTCCTAACAATTTCTCTAATGGCAATCAATGATTCACTTTATTTGAGTGACTCTATGTCATACCAAACACAGTAGAGAGGATTTCCTAAACTATTACCATACATTAGTATTCTTATTTAAAATTTAATGCCAGCTTAAAGAGACAAGATATATAACATGACTTTACCAAAAAGGGTGATAGGGTGATGGAGAATATAGCTTATTCCTCTGACTTCACTTTAATACTGTAATTATAATAAAAAGTACTAGTTGATCAGACATGATTTTTTTTTTTCAGTCTCTGAGATCAAACCCAGGTTTGATCTCATACAACTTAGGCAAGAATACTGCCACTAAGCTACATCCTCAGCCCACAAAATTGTTTTTATTATTGACATTCATAAATAAATCAAGTAATTGATTTTCTAGTACCAGAAAAATGGGGATTTATCTCAGTGTTAAATCTTTAACTTTTTGAGTGAAATTTAAACTGGCAGCATCAAATAACTCTGTGTTTATTGCACTCTTAGTGACAATTTTCAAAAACATTTGTATTTGGTCTGCAGAATATTTGTTTACTTCCCTCGCTATTAATGCTGACACTCTTCTTTGACCCCTCTTTTTGGTCTCCCATTCCCTTTCCTAGTTCTTTTTGCAGCCAGGGTAATATACCTACATACTCACATAGACGTATGCATATATATGCATATGCTAGCAGCAAACTTGCTCCCACATTTCCTTCTAAGTTTTAGTGTAAAAGCACATAAAATACGTTTAGTGGGAAAACATAGGAAAAGAAGACTCTATTGGACTATTTTGGTCTCTCTGCCTAATTAGGCCAGGCTGATATTCTTAGGTCCCATTTTTAGCTTTATTTTTTATGGCCTCTCCCAGACTCCAAAGCAGCAGAATAATTTTGTTGCCCTCCATCCCAGTGATATTCTTGAGAGAGACTATTCACTAGAAATGGCACTGTTTCTTTGGATTTGGTTAAATTCTCCACAGGAACTGATGGCTGTTTAGCATATTGAACCTGAGGCTGTGTCTTTGTGACATTCAGTTCCTACAGAAGTGTCTACCTAATGCTAAACAGTAGTGAGACTGGCTTCTTATCAAAGCATTCAGGAGATTAAAACCTCCTCAATTTATAAAGAGCACTAATATGTTAGTCTCGTTACTCAGTTTAAATTAGATCAATATATTATTGGTTATATTCAGAACTCAGTGTTTTGAAACTTTATGTTTGAATCACTTTGAGAGTTTAAAATATGAACTTTTAGGTCCCATCTTTTTGGAATTGTGATTGAGAAAGTAGGTGCTGTGGTTTGAATGTGTGTCTCAAAAGTTGAAGTGTTGCTTCAGTGTTTATAGCAGTACAATTTACAAGAGTCAATTAGGGCATCAACCCCTATGCCAGTCAACAGATGAATGGATCAAGAAAATGTGGCATACACATACAATGAATGTAACAAAATCATGTTATGTGCATATATAAATGTACCATAAGGAATTTCATCTTTATGCATATGTAGACTATACCAATAAAAATCAATAAAAGAGTGAAAGGAAGATCAATAGAGTAGATGAAGGAGAATAAGGAAGGGAGTAGGAAATGGAAAGAAATGGGGCAATAAGAACTGAAATCAAATTTCTTGCATGTATGGTTTTGTCAAAGTGAACCCAACTACTGTGTATTACTATGTTGCTCTAATGGAAAAAAAAAAAAAAAGTTCATGTCAAAACCTTCATTCTTCAATGTGGCTGTGTAGAGATGGGGCCTAGAAGGAAGTGGTTGGGTCATGGGAGCAGAACCATAATGACTATATTGATGCTTTTTTTGTGGGAATAGGTTAGCAGTTACCAGACTCGGTCCCCTCGTTTCTCTTCTGTATGCACCCATTTGACCTTCCATGCACAAAGCCCTCACCTGAAGCTGAGTAGATGCTAGGGCCATACTCTTAGACTTCAAGGCTTTCCAAACATGAGTCAAAATAAACTTCTTTTATTTATTAATTATCCAGGCTTCAACTAGTCTGTTATAGAAACACAAAACAGACTAAGGCAGCTGGAGCAAGGATTCAGGGATCTGAATAATTACCACATACTAATGCAGGTGAACCTCACTTTACACTTAGAGAAATACAATCTTACGTTATATTATCTTATCCCTTATATTAATCCTTTGGGTGGTTCAATGTAATCATCTTAATACATTTGTGTCATAAAACCTTCTCTGAAAACTGAAAATCACCTGCGTAATATTGGTGGTGGGTATTTGGTATGTTTTCACATCTATAACAGATCTGGTACATGCCTTTAATTTACATGTTTTTATGTTGGGGTATTTTCAGAGGCGTTCCGAATCTTTCAGTTTATTTGAAACTTCTATTCACTCTTTGGAAAGTATAATAATGGGTGTGAGCACAGCTTTCAAGGCAACAGAGACCAAAAAAGAAGATAGCAAAAATAGTATTCAGAGAAAATAAACCAAAAATAACACACTAGAAGACACAGCAGAGTGAAGGGAATACCCACAGCTGTGGCAACCCTTTCTCAGGGAAAAAGATCTTTGATGCTGAACAGAGGCCATCTCTCTCTGTCTCAGGCTTGCCAAGAAATAAGCTACAGGGATTTATTTATTTTTTACCTGTTCTAAGAAAGTAAAAACTTATTCTTAATTTTCAGCAGTAAAAATAAAATACAGAACTAAGGCTGTATGGCACAATTCTGCATGTAGGGTTAGGCTCAAAGTGGGCTGGGAAAAATCAAGAAGAAAAAAGTAGCAGGAAATTTCAAGAAAAATGTGAAATTAATATTTGTTAGAAATTCTTAAATAAATATTTAAGTTAAATGTATGTATTTTTTGTTGTCTCTAATAAGTCAACAACTGCAATTAGTTCTAGCTACAAAACCTCTAGTTTAAAATAAAAATGCCTTAGTGTACTCAAGCAACGTAAGTCTTTGTTAAGATTCGGTTTCCACGGTCACCTTTAAATACTTTTTCATTTTTCAACACTACTGTGCATTACATATTGAAAAATAGGATAATATAATAAATGTAAATTAACATTTAAAATTTAACATTAGTAGAGGACAAGGTGCCCATAATTTATGGCCTCCATGCTTTGACATTTTTCAGTAATGTATTTGTTTTAAACAGTATGCCCTGTCCATCTTGTGCAAGGATTCTTGTTCCTACCAGAGACAGACCTTTTCTGTTGACAAAGCCAGAACTGTAAATGGCTTCTGGCTTATTTCTGCCTGTGAGTTGTGTTAATTCCCTCTTCCTGTCTTTACTAGGATTTGTAAATTGAATGCTAATTGGTCATTTCTTTTGCTTTTGAAATTTTGTCCATCTATCTATATACCTACCTATCTATAAATAGAAAATGAGCCACATATACCATATGCATAGACCCATTCTCTTTTCAGTGTTAAAACCTGCTGTCAGCTAACGTCCCTCTTCTATCAGCTTCTATCAGCTGGGTGAGCCACTGCAACTCAGGCCTCTGAGCAGCTCTTTGACAGCACAGGTGTGCCACCACATGAGGTTCTTGCACTTCCATCAGATCAGCCTGGAATGTTGTTCCATCAGACAGYCACTTCCTTCCTCTAAATCTTAGTCAAAATGTCTTTTCCACAAGGGAGATTTCCTAAACCACCTTATTGAAAAATTTACTTCCAACTATTTCTCGTGTTCTCATTGTATTGCTTTAATCCCCCCCCCTAGCAATTATGGCCTGCGAGCACTGTGTTTAACTAATTTGTTTTGTTTATTGTTTATTAAAACTTTAGAATAAAGTTCCATGAGGTCAGCTAGTTGAATTTCTTTGTTCATTGAGGTATATTCAGGATCACTATTCGTGCCACATGGGAAGTGATAATACATTTTTGTTGACTAAATGAATTAATCAACAGTTATTATTCTATAAAGGAAATAATACTATTTTCAAAAGCACATAAATATGCTCATGTAAATATTACTCCCTATACATATGCATTTATAATTGAGTTACTCAAAGTTTTTAGCATTTTCATTTGAAATTCACTCACCCATCTTAAAAGAAACTTTCTCTTTGTTACATAGAATTTCCATATATTGCTTTATCCTCCACAATCTTCTAAGACATATGGGAAAATTTACAGAAAATTTTAAAGTACAAGTGACTTGACCAAGGTCACAGAACTGGTTTGGAGTTGAGAACTTAACACAAACATTCATAGTGTCAGTCATTATTTTAGACTGTAAAATACTTCTAATCCTAATCATTCCCAAGAGTTTTAAGAATGCCAAAATACCAAGGGTGACTGTTTTATTTTTTTATTTTTTTCCTTGCACTGGGTATAGAACCCAGAATCTCACACATGCTTGGCAATTGTTCTACCTCTAAGATACATCCCTAGCCTTTTAAATTTTTAAATTTTGAGACAGAGTCTTGTTAAATTGCCCCAGCTGGCCTAAGACTGGCCGTCCTCCTGCTTCACCCTCTCAAGAAGCTGGTTTTACAGGCATATGACACTGCATACAGCTAAGGGTGACTCTTTAATTCAAAACATTTTTGTCTGAGAAAGTGATTTCCCTACAGGGCTTCAAATGAATCCCAAATGTGTTACATGATTAAATACCATATTTTACATTTGTATTATGTGAGAGAGTAGTAGTTAGCCCCAACTGTCCTCATCACAGAACTATTTACTCTTTACATTATGGAATCCATAGTATTTATTAACAACAAAGAGTTGAAACTATTTTTTCCTATTTGACTTGAAAATATGTTAAAGCATTGGGGAGTAGGCATTCAATTATGGGGCAAAAAATGACTGTCTTTGATGTCATCTCTTCAGAAGCATTTAGGCCATAATATCACTCTAATAGATCATGGCATGACTCCAGGCCAGTGTAATGGAGACTACCAGCAGTGCAATTCTCACATCGAAGAATAAAGGCAAAAGGAAAATCCAGAGACATTTATTTTCAAAATTCATACATGTGTTACATATTACAGTTTCAGACGATAAAGGCAGAGAGACCCACACATGCAAAATAGTTTTTCCGAGGTCTCAAAATGAAAAAGATTAACAAGAGCTTCCAAAACTATCCCACTAAAAAGTCTGATGAGCAGGTTGTACCAAAAAAAAAAAAAAAAAAAAAGACTAATTAAGAAATATGGTCTCAAGGGCTGGGGATGTGGCTCAAGCTGTAGCGCGCTCGCCTGGCGTGCATGGGGCACTGGGTTGGATCCTCAGCACCACATAAAAATAAAATAAAGATGTTGTATCCACCGAAAACTAAAAAAATAAATAAATAAATATTAAAAAATTCTCTCTCTCTCTCTTTAAAAAAAAAGAAATATGGTCTCAAAATCATGAAAATGTTTAAAATAGATTCCCTTAAAAGTTATGAATGGTTTAATTTTAAAAAATCCCTTTTAAAGAATTTATAATTTTAATATATAACTGTATTAAATGTTAGAAGCCTGTCACTCAAGTTAAATACTACAAAGATACACCAAAAGGAAATATGGTAATTAGAAGGCAAAAGCAATGACAAAACAAACCAGAGCTCCCAATAGACATCTGTACCTGATGAGGGGAGCAGAACTTCTTGTCACCAGTCAACCGGTTTCCATCCATGGAGAAAAGAAAGCTTCTTCTTTTGACACTGTCTTCCGATTCAGATTTGGGAAACGTGTCTCCTTCTCGGTTTCCTTGGAGATGCTCCCTCTGTCTTCTTTTCTTTCTCCGATTCCTCCACTCCTTGGCACTTTTGGAGCTTAACTTTGATGCTTCTGAAGAACTTTCCAAGAGCTCTCCCAAGCCACCTATCCCACTGAAATCTCTTGAAGCTGCGGATGCGGCTGCAACTGCCTGTGTAAGACAGAGACAGGTGCTGCTCAGAATGTGTAACTTGGAAGTCAGTTGACCACAGTTCAAGTGCTGTCATTTGAGACTATTAACTATATGTGTGAATTAAGGCTTTTGTGTTTTTATTTTGCTTTGCCAGCAGAGTTTACTTAAAAATAACCCTTCTGTGATAAGTAGCATAAATTTATCTGGTACTCTATACATTAAGGCAAGTAAAGTCTGCCCTTGCTCATCTCAGTTGAGATCAACTTCAGTTTAGGGGATGTTTGCTCTTGTAAAGTGTCGTCTGTATCTTTAAAAGTAAATGCTTTGTTAGTAGAAGTTGCTCCTCTGATCACTATTCCATTTTAGCCAATTGGATTATTTCTCCAAAATGTAACTGTCCTTTAAATCCAGGACAAAATACTTTCCTTTTTTTGTGAACTCAAAACTTTTATAGTATCTACTATTTTTACCTCCAGATAGAAGTAGTGGGAATGTGTTGGCTAGTTTTCCCCCTCACTTATTTGAATGACACTTAGGAATATAGTCTACATCTGTGGACATATGTTAATTTCAGAGAATTTATTGTATATCACTTTTTGTTCTAAAATTTAAATATTTACAAATTTATTATTATTTATTGTAAATTATTAACATATCAATAAGTAAATGCGTGAACATTTTTTCAAGAGATTATGAGAATTTTTTTTTCAAATATTTTCTTGCTACATTTCAGCCCTAAGTATTACTAAGCATCTTGAATTTCTGTACCTGCTAATGAAACACAGACAGTTCTGAGGTTAAACATGACAAATGTTTTGTACTTTAATCTATATTAAGAACATGTTTAGACTGGAAATGATTCAGCCATGACTTAGAGAGGATATGAAACAATATGATGTATATCAAAGCTGAATTCTCATTAGGTATGTTCATGTTTTGAAACAAAACCATAGAAGTGAAAATAATTAAATTATGAAAACACTGATTAAAATTTTCACATTACTAAATAAAAACAACTCTAATTTATCTACCATTTTGTCACTCTTCCCCCATGGACTGTAAGTTAGACGGGAATTTTGTCATTGTTTCTTTGCACAGTGACTGGTATGTCATCTGACGTAAAAGTTGCTCAGTAGATTTTTGTAGCATAAAGGCTTCAAAAGCATTTTATTGTCAATTTTGTCAGACACTGGGGTGGGGGGTGACTGGGGGCAGACATGTGAGCCCTGACTTTTCAAGATCTCATAAAAGATGATGGTTTGTAAAGAATGGTCGATAAAATAGCAACTTATTTTAGGAAGGAATAAAGGTAAAACCCATTTACAGCCTCAAAAATACTTTGTGCTTTATTTCTTGCTTGCTGAAAAGAAACAAGTAGTTTTTATTTCTGAATGTCATCTCAAATGAAGTATAAAATGTTTGAAACCAAAAAAGCTACCCCGTGGATTTTCTAAGATTAACATGACCTCAGAGGAGCTAACTGTAGTACTAAATATAGTGCTAAATTTATGTGTTAAACTCAGCAACACGAATATTAGTTTATGCTGAGTGCTATATTCACATGGAAAACCTAGATCAAAGACTTGGTATAAGACAATGTCTAGCATTTATTTACATCCTAATTTTCAATTCAGATATTTATAAAATTGTATATTATTAGACGACTTTCTTTATGACTATTGATTGGCACTAATAATTCCAATATCATCCATGGTAAAAGATGAGAGATACTAAAGATATTTTACTACATGACTGCATAAGTATAACAAGACAAATAAATTAAGCACTTGTCTGTAGTAAGTTACGTTTGCAAAGTGCTTGATCCATAGAGGTACATAATATATGCCATTTTTTGAAGGAGCTAACAAATGTCAACATATATCTTTTCTTTTAGCCAAATACATTCCTAATTCTCCTTTCCCCATTATACAGACACATGCACTCAACACATAGGAATATCATTTATCAACTTGTTTGTCCCTAGAAACAAAAGGAAGTGGTGGTACTATTCCCTTGCCATAATCCTGAAACTCATGTTCATTTAAATCACGTCTGGAATTTGTTTTGCATAAGCATGATTTCCCTATCTATTCTGAGTAGCAGTTCAAATAACTAAAAACCAAAACAGGTTTTTTTAAGGCAACAAAGGTAACCTCCGACACAACACATTTTCTCTGTCACTCATCAACTCATATCTGTCACTTGTTCCACTTCCAGAGATTTGCTGATTCCCTGAAAGGCAGATGTTTCCTGTCATCTCTCATGTCTGCGACACCGCCAATGTCCTGCTTATTTAGAATAATAGCAGTTTTTTCACAACCAACTTCCTGAATTATTCTTGTAACAAATAACAGATTAGTGTATAATACTTACACAGGTAAGAACATTTTCTTATTACATTTCTTTGTGGTTCAAAACAGGCTCCAGAACTTCCTGTCTCTATGTGTCTTCAAAATAAACCTAATAGTTCTTTCATTTTAAATTTAAAACTCAGGTAAAATCCCATTTAAAACCATGAGACATTAACTGTACCTGTTTCAATTTGACCCCTAATTATTACATCTCTTAAATGCTATTTCTAGTTTTGTCTTTCAACTGACTCCTAAATATTTTCTTGTTAGACCTATGTAGATCACAATGGGATATGCTAAAGTTGGTCACTATTAGGCATTTAAAGATCATAAATGCCAAACATAATTCCAATGATCTCTAGCAAAGTTTTTATTTTCTTCTAGGATTGGTCTTTTTTCCATCTCTAAAAGTTGCACTTGATTTGTGAATCCCCTGAGCTGTACATGTCATGTTTTCATGTCTAAACAATGACTAAAACCATACATGGACCCTCAGCGGTATTAAATGAARTGGAAGTGATGCTAGGCTTTGTGAAGTCATTAGCTAAAGAGTCAGTTCTGAAGAGTCATTCGTGGTGAGCAAGATTTAGACTACACTGCAGTATGAATAATTCCAGGAGTGCACTAATGCTTTCTAGCTCCCTCCTCCCTCCAGCACGAGTTTTGTTTCTGATTCCCTCCTCTGCTTCAGTATTGGCTGTCCACCAGTCATTGTAACCTGTGATATCAAGAAGAAACTAAAATTGATTTGGTACTGTGCAATCACAATAAATGTTAAAACATTTTTTTCTGAGGTCAATTTAAATGTTGTAAAGAAAAAGCTAAGTCAAATCAAGATTTAGTCACTGGAATCTAATAACTGATTATTAAGTACATATAATTAACATTTTTTGCTGACTAAATTTTAATAGACATAATTAGCTTCTTTAAAATTCTACTAGACATAGTGCACTTTTATTTCTAAATTCAAAAAGATGAAACTCTTATTAACTGATGTCATATTTTACTTTAAAGAGGCTGCATTTTAGAATAAACTTACTCTTTTTGTACTGTTTTCTGTGTAGCATTTTTAAACACATAAACTTGTCTGTGTTTACAAATAATAATATGATAATGCTTTAATATAAAATTATATGTAGTGTGCAAATATTATTTGTTATAACATTTATTTAAAACTTTGAAATAAGAAATGTCTTTACTCTCTAAATAGCTATTTTGCTATCTTACAAATGTCTTTTACTTATAGTAAGATGAAATAAAACTCCCTAAAAATTCTGGATATGAATAAAACTTTTTGGAAAGCATGAGGGATAGTTTTTGAGATTCCAAATATTTCAAATTTCTCCATAGTTTCCTTCTAAAATCAATAGAGTAAAATCATATTGCAACTTCTTACTCAGGGTAAGATGCAAATAGAAAAGCCTGCATTGAGTTCAGCAGGTGCTAAAGCCATGATTGAGGTCAGGAATTAACTAAGCCACTCACTGCCAAGTCCCTGTTTTACCAAAAATGTTTCAAAAAAAGACCAAATGCTGTGAGTCTTCAAAGTAATTCATAATTGTTAAAAACTTAAACTTTATATACTGCTATTTAAAGAATAAATATCTGAATTCATTCATCTGAGAAAAAATTTCTAAAATGTCAGTATATAAAAATATTATTTGGACTTCTGCTTTTGGCCAAGGTAGGGTAATAGAGAGCAGTACTGCTTTCCAGACTATAGGACAAGGAAGGACTACGTACGGACTCCATAAGTGGAAGACACAGAACTAGGTGTCCAGGGACTCTAAGATGGCTACAGTTCAGAGGACAGGCATCTTAGAAGAAAGGGCTTACCAGAGAACACGGGGGCTCTTCTGAGGTCCCTCATGAGTACTGAGAAAAATATTCATCAATGCATGTGTATTAGGCTAAGGATTACAGGAAATGCCACTTACTATGCATATACAGAGCCAACAGCGTCTGCCTGTTCCTACCAGCGACACTAGTAAAAACTTCATTTTAAATGGGCCATTGAGTAGAGTATTTGGAAATGCCTTCCCTCAGTAGTGTTCAACAATCAGCCTTAGATTAAACGCTGTTCTTGACTTATCTAGCACCCCCAAAACAAAAATGGACAGTTTCTGAAATTAAATTTAAGATTGTCATAAATGTATAACAGAAAGAATATTTAACCCAAGATGAAGAGGCAACTTAATTGAAACTGACCAATGACCAACACAGACATTAGAAGTAGCAGACAAGGACATTAAAATATTGCTATAATTGCATTGTGTGTGGTGGAATGAGATGGACATCATTACCTTAGGTACATGTATGAAGACATGAATGGTGTGACTCTACTTTGTGTACAACCAGAGAAATGAAAACTTGTGCTTCATTTGTGTACTATGAATCAAAATGCATTCCGCTGTCATGTATAACCAATTAGAACTAATTGATTAAAAATTGCACTATGTATGTTCAAATTATTAATTATAGACTTAGAAAATATAAAGAAGATATAGTTTCAACCTTCATTGATGAAAATGATAATAGTAGAGATTAAAAATACACAAAATGGCCAGGCATCATGGTGCATGCCTGTAATCCCAACAGTATGGGAGGCTGGGAAAGGAGGATTGTGAATTTAAAGCCAGCATCAGCAATTTAGCAAGGCCCTAAGCAAATTAGTGAGACTCTGTCTCTAAATAAAATACAAAAGGTAGGGGCAGGAATGTGGTTCAGTGGTAAAGTAACCCTGGGTTCAATCCCCAGTACCAAACACATACACACACACACACACACACACACACACACACACACATGATGGGATTAACAGCACATTAGACACTGCTGAGAAAAGATGATAAACTTGAAGACAGAGTAATAAAAATTAACCAAACTGAAATAGACTAGGTTATTCTAAAACTCATATGGAACTACAAAACAACTTTGAGAAGAAAATTAAAGTTGAAGAGCTAGCATAATCTAATTTCAAGGCATATAAAAAGCTACAGTAATTAAAAGAGTGTGCTATTGGTGTAAGAATGACAAATAAACGGGACAGAATAAATCCCCCAGACAGACTTACGTGTGGATAACCTTTTGATGAAGGTTCAAAGTCAGTTTAGTGGAGAAAGGATATTATGTTCAATACGTGCTGTTGGAATATCTCCATATTCATATGCAAAAAAAGAATATACAATACTCACACTCTATGCAAAAAATTAACTTAAAACAAGTCATCGACCTTCATGTAAAATGTAAAATTATTTGGATTTGTAAGAAAATATAGGAGAAAATCTTTGTGGAATTGGTTTGGCAACAATTTCTGAGATGCAACATGAAAATCATTGAGTTTTTAAAAAGTCAAAAATTATATAAATTAAATAAACTAAAATGACACATGTGAGGCGGAAGTTGCCTCCATGTTCTCTTCCTTTAAGGGACTGGAACGTCCTGTGGGACTCTTGGCACAGAGAGATTAGTACCTAGGAAGAAAACACTGTATTCAGGTCTCTGCTGAACCTATCTTCTCTGAGAGCCCTCCTGTGGAAATTTTAATTCAGATTAAAAACTTTTGCTTCAAAAAATACAGTTAGTAACTGCATGCAGTGACACATGCCTATAATCCCAGTGGCACGACAGTCAGGAGGATTGAACAGACAGGAGGATTGCCCATTCAAAGCCAGCCTCTGCAATTTAGTGAGGTGCTGTTTGAAAATAAAAATAAAAAAAAAATATTTAAAAATCTTGGAATGTGTCTCAGAGGTTGTGTGTGTGTGTGTGTGTGTGTGTGTGTGTGTGTGTGTGTACACACACAACTGGGAGATTATAATTGCAAAGTATCATATATGTGCACAAATAATATATATGACTAAGGACTTGTACCCAGAATATATAAAGAAGATTCAAAATTAAATTCATACAAAACCAAGCCTAACTAAAAACACTAACAAAGAAAGGGTATAGATGAAGTTTGGAACAGTCACTTCAAAAAAGAAGTATACAGGTAAAAAATAATAACATGAAAAGCATTAGGGAAATGCAAATTAAAATAGCAATGAGATGCTTAGTAGAAGGACCTAAATTAAAAAGACTGCCCATACCAAGTGTTGGCAAAGATGTAAAAGAATTGTATCTGCAACTGACATGAATCAGATTCTCACAATCTCTCACCGTCTTCATCTTAAAATACATGTTTTCCCCTACTCCCCTTTTGCTCCAATATTGTGCTCCTGTCTGCATTCCTTAAGACCTGAGTGACTCATTCACTAAACCCCTAACCAAATCAACTTTAATACTAATAAAAATCTGAAATTGGTGTTTAGTTTCTGATGACTTCCTAATATCTTGATATGGACTGTAGCGAACACGTTTTGCAATGCAGATGTCCTGAAGAATGGTTAAGTGTTGGTATACATAATGTCATCTCTTTGATATTAAAAATCAATTAACTTCAGAAGAAAACAAGAAAATTAGAGGTGAAACAGTAATAGTTGGAAATGCCACTTATACTTCCTTTTCAAATTAAACTAAAAATTAGATTCCTCTCTCTGTTTCCATGAGGTAATCATATAGTAAATGTTATCTCTAACTCTTTATCTAGCTACTAGCTAATTTCTTGGTAATGTATAGTGTCTAAAGAACTCTTGGGCTGTAACTTCAGAAACAATTTTAGGTTTGAATGATTTTCTTTTTTAAAAGTAATTTCTACACTCAAAATGAGAAGCTAGCTCCAACTTAACCCTTGTGATACAATAAAAATATTCCTACTAAATAACTAAAACAATCATAAGGCTGTACTTATTTATCACTCTGTACCTGAGCTTCTTCCTGTTGTTTTTTAAGCTGTTCAAGCATCTGCTGAAATTCTGCCTCCTTCTGTTCTGCCTCTTCCAGTGTGGCCTGATTCTGTTCCTCGTAGGCCATGGCCACCACAGCCAGGATCAAATTTACCAAGTAAAAAGAGCCCAAGAAAATCACCAGGACAAAAAATATCATGTATGTTTTTCCAGCAGCACGTAATGTCTAGGGGAGAAAAGAGAAATTTATCAGTATTTTAGAATAGTGTCCCCAAATAAAGATCTAGTCATCACAATTAGAAATCAAGAGATGAATGCTTTTTAGTACTCAATTTATTTTGATCAATTTTCTTTTGCTCCTAAAATATGCAAGCATACACACATACGAAAGTAATAATCAAATTATCAGAAGTTTGACCATAGTGCATCTGATATAAATACATTTCACATTAGTGCATCTTGGATATATATTTGAAGGGTGAATAAAGGAGGGTGATAGAACAACGGAGAACACTGGATCTTTCATTTCTTTCAGTTGGGCTTCTCACCCATAGCATCCTCCTCTAAATCTTCTAGAAGAGACACCTTCCTTCCTTCCTCTTTTAGCTTCAATTAATTACAGCTTTAATTTGAAAATTTTGTATAATTGACTTTGTAAAATCCTTTTACATGCTGTTTCTAATCTCCATGACTAGTTTATAAACTCCTCAAAGCCATGAGCATTCTTTGCATTTGCCCCAGCCCTTAGCAGAATGCCTTTCATATAAGTAACTCTCCATCTATATAACTGACTGAGCAGTGAGGATTCTATGCACACTTACTTTATACCATACCCTTTTATGTATTCCAGAGTATTTTAAAGAAATATCCATACTTAAAATTTTATATATGTTCAAAAAAGATTCTATTCACGTTAATTTGGATCTTACCAACTGATAAAGGTTCTCCCAGTAGTCTTGAGTCATCAGACGGAATAAGGACAGAAAGGCCCAACTGAAGGTGTCAAAGCTTGTGTAGCCATAGTTGGGGTTCCGGCCAGCCTTCACGCAGATGTATCCTTCTGGACACTGACTATGAAAAAGAGGGTTGATAATGAGGTCAGTATAGAAATTATATCAAGTCCAACCCATCTTGCTTTGTAGGAATTGTCATAACCTGGAATTATCTGCAATGGATTATTTTTTGCCTTCCATTTTAGAACACTTAGGTGCCTGCTCACAGGGAAACTCATCAAATAAAAAACAGAATTACCAGGAAAACCAGAATCAAGTTAGGCATAAAGGAACCATATCTACAGACATTTAGAACTGCAGATCTTTGGCTCTGACACCATAATTATTCTCTACAAAGTGGCAATAACAAATAATTAAAAGCTGAATGTCAGAAAACATTTGAAGGGTGAGAAACCACTTAATTAATGGGCTATTTCAATTAGTTCTGTAGAATTATCTAAAATAAAATTTATGATTTAGAACAATTCTAGTTTCACAGAAAATCTATGAGAATAGTACAGATCTCCCACATCCTCCATGCCCAGTTTCTAATATGGATACTTTATTATTAATTGAAGTCTAGACTTTATTCCTATTTCTTCAATTTTTCCTCAACATCCCTTTTCTATTCCAGGACACACAAACATCTAATCCTCATGTCTTCTTAGTCTCCTCTTGGTTCTATAGTTTTTCAGACTTTCCTTGTCTTTGGCAAACTTGACAGTTTTGAGCACAAGTCAGGTATTTTATAGAATGTACCTAAGTTAGGATTTATGTCGTGTTTATTTCATTATTATTTTGGGGTTATCGATTTTGGGGTGGAAAAATACAGAATAAAAGTACTATTATCCTCTCATCATGCCAAAATCATGCACTTAATCAATGTCATTTTTCATTGTTGACAACATTGATCACCTGACAGGACATAGTGTTTGCTCGGTTTCTTCACTGTAACTCTACTTTTTTCTTTCTCTTTTATACTACACTCTTTGGAATAAAGTCAGAATGTGCAGTCCACACTTAAAGAATGCACAGTTATTATCTCCTTAAAGGCAGTATATACATAAAATTTATTTGGAATTCTGCATGGGATATTTGTCCATTATCACTTATTTATTTGATTACTTATTCACATCAATTCATAGTCATGAATATTCATTTTATACYTTGAATTAAAATGTAATATTTACTTGCTCAATTTTTCAATCTTTGGTCATTACCAGCTTTTATTGTTGATATTTGTACCAGTTTGATATACCCATTGGCTGCATATTTTGTTTTTGTTTATTTATTTTTTTCTTAACACTTTTGTACTTCCTGACCTTACAAGATGCTATAGGTTCGTTTTATTTTCCACACTAGTTCTTTAATCAACCATTTCTCCAAGGATTCCCATTTCCTTTTATTGGAGAACAGTATTAAAAACCAAGGTCAGATGTTAGCTGGGTGTTTGTTGCTACTAAGATCTCATTGCTTCTAGTGCTTCTGACCTCACAGAACAAGGTCACATATATGYTAACTTGTGATGTATATACACACACAAATACATAAATCATTTGTGTTAAGATTAAGCTAAATTTGAGGTCATGCTCATGTCTCCAACTCAAATCCATTACCACAGGATCATTCTAGACTTCTCCATTTATTTGAAACATGTCACTGCAAAAGTGAGAAATCTGCCTCCTTCTATCCACTATCCACTTGCTTAATTGTTCTATGCCAGTACACATGCATAGTAGTTTTAGGATTATCAGTTCATACCACCATGAGCAATGACTTTATCCACTAGAGTACTGTTCCTTGGCCCTTTAGTCTCACAGACCCTGTTCATTTCTAGAGTGACTTAGGATAGCACATTATTATGCCACTTCCTTTAGTCAAATGGTTTCATACATTCATAATATATTTAAATAGTCTTTTCATATTTATTATTTCATCCTGGGATCCCTAAACATTACAAAGGATTTTTTAAAATGATTTGTGTATGTTAAGGTTTACTCTTTGTTCTGTGAGTTTTGGCAAATGCTTAATGTTTTGTATTCACCATTACAGAGTCATAAAATACTTTCTCCACCCTCAAAATCCCACATGCTTCACTTAATCACGTACTTAACCCTTAAACATGAACCCCTATAAACACTGATCTTGTTCTCATCTGTACTGTTCTCTTTTCCAGAATGTCAATATATTTGGAATCATATCATGTATGTTTATCAGGTTGGCTTTATTTAAACATAGAAGCATGCATTCAGATTCATTAAAGTCTTTTTTTTGTCTTATTAGCTCATTTTTTAAAATCACTTAATATGTCACTGTATGTGTATAATAATGTATTTATTCATTCATATATTAAAGATATCCAGGTTGCTTCCATCTTTTAGTGATTATGAACAAAACTGTTACAAATATTCACTTACAGGTTTGGTATAGATATGTCATTATATTGGTTGACTGAAAATCTAATAGTGCAGTTTTCTGATCATCTGGTAAAAATTGTGATTATTTTGTGAGACTCCACCAAACTCTTTTGCATTCCCACTAGCAATGAGGGAGAATTCCTGTTATTTTGCATCCACAAGTTGGTACACCAAGAAGTTGATATTGCCAGTATTTTGGAGATTTTAGTCACTGTAATATGTATACAGTGGAAACTAATAGAGGTTTAAATTTGTAGTTGCCTACTAATAAATAATGTTGACCATCTTTTTGTATTTTACTAGCCATCTGTATATATACTTTTGTGAGTTGTATGTTCAGGATGTTTTTGTCATTTTTTTTTTCTTTTTTAAAAATTTTTATTGTTGGTTGTTCAAAACATTACATAGTTCTTGATATATCATATTTCACACTTTGATTCAAGTGGGTTATGAACTCCCATTTTTACCCCGTATACAGATTGCAGAATCACATCGGTTACACATCCACTGATTTACATATTGCCATACTAGTGTCTGTTGTATTCTGCTGCCTTTCCTATCCTCAAGGGGAAGGGAGGGGGGATAGTTTTTGTCATTTTTGAATTGGGTTATTTATTTCCTTGTTATTGAGTTTAAGAGTTTCTTTGTATATTTTGAGTGTAGGTCCTTTATCAGATTTGGGTTTTGTAAATATTTTCTTCTATTATGTGCTTTGTCTCTTCATTTTCTTAAGAATGTGTTTGTAGAAGAGAAGATTCTAACTTTAATAAAGTCAATTTATCACCTTTTTTATTTCATGGACTGTGCTAATTGGTTATATAACCAATCTCAAATTTATGTAGATTCTCCTATATTTTCTTAAAAAAGTTTTATATCTTACACTTAAATGCATAATCTATTTTGAGTAAGTTTTGTTGCAGATATATGTTCTGTTTTAGTTTTGTTTCTTTAAATTGTTCTAGCATCATTGGTTGAAAAGATTTTGTTTACTCTATTGAATTACATTTGCTTGCTTCTTTGTCAAAAATTGGTTGACTATATTTTTACATGACTATTTTGGGGTTTGGGTTCTGTTTCATTGATCTATATACCAGTTGTTTTTTTTTTTTTTTTTTTTACCAATGGTATGTTATTTTTATTACTGTGACCTTATATGAAGTCTTGAAACTGGGTAGATATTTTTAGAATTTTGACATTTAACAATAGAGTGACTATCAATTTTACCATGCAAATTTCTTAACCCATAGTAGGTATTTATTAAAGAGAAGTGATTATTATGTTTTCATAGGAATAAAATATGCATTAACTAGCCTTATCCAAACATTTATCTAGTCTTTTGAGTTAACCATAATAATAAATAACAGCATTAGTTACAATCCTATTATAAGCTTATGATATTATAAATTATAATGCTTATGACAGAGCCTGTTCTAGTACAAATGCTTTATGTACATTAAATAAATATTCATCACAACAACTTTAAGAGTGGACTGTATTACTCTTCCAAGTTTAGAGATATATAAATTGAAGTAACCAAGAGTTTAGTACACTTGCAAGTTCAAAGAACTTGCAGATTGTGGAGTTAGAATTTGAACCTAGAATCCATGCTCTTATCTATTACATTCATGTACCAAAACTGTCAGGAAAAAAAATTCCCCAAAGCTCTATCTATAGGACTAATATGTACTTCCATTGATGCTCTTAGATTTTATGACCACACCAATTTTCTGTTCTAAGATGCCCTAAAATATGTTCAAGTTTTATGGCCTCTGAGTCACCTACTATTTGTTTTCCTTGCTTTTAAAACATTATCTGTCTTGATTTAAAATTAATTTTTAGTACTTTTGGGAAAATATGTTAAATGTGAGAGATTAGAAGGATGACTAAGATATCAAAGGATCTCTCATTGCAGAATGTAACCAAATAGAAGAATTATGTAGTTTTCTGGCTCAGACTTGGACATACCTTTGGCTCTTTGCTCAGAGATTCATGCGATTTTAAGAATACCTGAATTTTCAAGGCATTTTCTTGAAACATACGGCATCTTTTGTGGATTTTTTTTTTTTTTTTGCCACAACAAAACTTACTTCATCAGTACAATCGCACATTAACAAAAATGTGCCCACCTTGTGTTCTTTTCCTCTGCTTCCTAAATAATCCTGATGGGTTTACAGAAAAAGCTGACTATGGGTCTTCACTCATTGGAGAAATACATTAGGTACATCCTGAGTGTAAATTCTGGAGAAAACATCTTTATCCAAAGGAATGATTTTTCAAAGGCTGTGAATTTAGGGTCAATGGTAATTCAGAAAGTCAGACAAGGCCCTTGCTAGGTAGGCAGACATGCTCTCATTATTTATATGTAAGTATCCTTTTGTATTTTTTCCTGACTTTCATTTTCTTTTTGTTTTGTTTTCTTTATTTCTTTTCATAAGATTTGACATCTTTTTTTTTTTTTAAAGAATTGTATTCCTTACCCTGCATCTGAGCCATTCCCACAGAGTAAAGGATCTTTTTGTCCATCCAAAACATAAAAGTGACCTGTTAATATAAAAAATAAACTCTTTTCATTTGATCAGTCATACTCACACTAAATAAAATCCCCAAATTTGTTTCAGTTATTTTCGACATGCTCATTAATGTCCTTAACCAGACTCCTAAAGCATAAGCAGTAAAATCAAGAAATCAATAAATGGGATGAATCCAAACTAAAATGCTTTTTCTCATCAAAGGAAACAATCAAGAACATGAAGAGAGAGCCTACAGAATTGGAGAAACTCTTTACCACACACACATCAGATAGAGCACTAATCTTCAGGATATATGAAGAATTAAAAAAAAAAAWAACACCGAAAAACTCCAAATAGCCCAATCAATAAATGGGCAAAGGAACTGAATAGACACTTCACAGAAGAAGAAATACAATGGTCAACAAATAAATGAAAAAAATGTTTAAAATTTCTATCAATTAAAGCAATGCAAATTAAAATACACGGAGATTCTATCTCATTCCAGTCAGAATGGCAGTTCTCAAGAATACAAGTAACAATAAATGTTGGCGGGGATGTGGGGAAAAGTGTACCCTCATACATTGCTGGTGGGACTACAAATTGGTGCGGCCACTATGGAAAGCAGTATGGAGATTCCTCAGAAACCTTGGAATGGAACCACTGTTTGACCCATTTATCCCGCTCCTCAGGTTATACCCAAAGGACTTAAAGTCAGCATACTAAGTGATGCAGGTGCATCAATGTTTATAGCGGCTCAATTCACAATAGCTAAACTCTGATGCCCTTAAACAGATGAATGGATAAAGCCAAACCCCACAAACCAAAGGCCAAACGTTTTCTCTGATAAGTGGATGCTAATTCATAATGGAGGGTGGTGGGGAAGAATGAAAAAACTTTGGATTGTGCAGAAAGGTGTGAGGGGAAGGGACGGGTTGTGGGGATAGGAAGGACAGTGGAATGAGTTGGACATTATTATCCTATATATATGTATGATTACACTTCTGGTGTGACTCTACACTATATTCAGCCAGAGGAATGAGAAGTTGTGCTCCATTTGTGTACAATGTGTCAAAATGCATTCTACTGTCATGTATAACTAATTAGAATAAGGTTTTTAAGAAAGTACCTTCACAAAATCTCAACTATCTCTAGTTGCAAACTCACTCAGCAACACTAAGGTTAACATATGTGGTAATACTTCTTACTGTCATCTCCAATGTAATCTTTCCAATTAAATGTGCTCATTGTTACATTAACAAATGTCCCATTTGAATCCATTGTGCCATTGAAGTAGGAAGTGGTGTTGGTTTCAAAGGCAGAATCATTTGGGGGCCATTGCAAACATTTATTCCTCAGGTTGCCCATGAACAGCTGCAGTCCAATTAGAGCAAACACGCTCAGACAGAACACAGTCAGAATCATGACATCTGAGAGCTTCTTCACTGACTGGATCAGGGCCCCCACGATGGTCTTCAGACCTGAGGAGAAATAACTCAATTGAGGAAGAGTGTCATAAACCATGACTTTTTTTTCTCACAAGCTGCACACATTCCTATTTCCCCACAAAATATTGCTTGGCCATGTACACACCAAAGCTTTATGGACAGCCTTATGATCTGGAAAGCAGATGAAGCGCAGACTTTCAATATGAACGGTATGCTTTCTGGAGGTTCAAAATTAAAGTTTAAATATCTAGGCAGGAAGTTTTGCTTGTGCGATTTTATGTGCTGCCATATAAAAGACAAAGTTGCAGTTGTTTTTCCTTTCGGATCCTGTGTTTCATGAGGCTATTTCCCTCCAACCCACTCTTTACACTAGCCTCCAAGTAGCAGTGATTTAGAGGAGAAAAGAATTTTAAGATATAGAAATCCCATGCAATGTGGATGCTTTTCCATATAATCTTTTCTCCTTTATCAAAGAAGATCTATTTTTGAAATAGATCTACAGTGAATGGTAAAATACAAATCAGTAAAGCCATGGTAGCAAAGCTTCATCAGAATGCAAGAGACAAAACTTTGCATCATATGCAAGAGAGAGAAGTTGGGGGTGGGAACAGAGAGAGCACAAAACCAGTAATATCTTTTTTTTTTTAGTAGATGTCTCATGCAATTTTTTGTTAAACTCAAAGGCTGACTTTACAAAGAAGCAGAAATTACTAAAATTTTAGGTAATAATCTGACAYTGAAACATTATTTGGCATTCCTTAAAGTAACCAGTGAGCAATAAGCAACAAGGTTAATTGCATACATTTGATATCAACCTGAATATTATTGTAGTGTATATAAAGTCAGCCTCGGTGTTTAACCTAGCTCTCACCTGGAATCACTGAAATAGTTTTCAATGCTCGGAGAACTCTGAATGTTCTCAGTGCTGAGACATTGCCCAGGTCCACAAACTCTGTCACATATCTGTAATAGGGGAGTTCACACACAAACACAATAACACACAAGAAAAGTTGGAGATATAAGGGGCCTATCACCTTACACCAGTTTCTTCTTACCTGGAATTACAGAAATAGTTTTCAGAGCTCGCAAGACTCTGAAAGTTCGAAGAGCTGAAACATTGCCTAGGCTTACAAATTCTGTTACATACCTGTAGAATTAAATCAGAGTTACTGATAGTTTTGGAAAATTTCATGCTAAAGAAATAATTAATGCTGGATTTGGCATATATAGCCCCTTGAGTTAAACAAACAGAATTGCCATAGACCTCAGGGTGGCATCTGCTGAAGGGTGCCTTTAAGGAAAAAAAAAATTGTTGTTTTATTTCTATGTAGGTTTCACTAATATGGATATTTCTGTTTGCAAAAACAATCAAAGTACAGTTGTAGCTATTAAATTTTAGTCAATGAATAACTTCATTTTGATGAAGATAAATACTGTGACATCAGAGTAATTCCATTTATTGCTCATTTAGTAAATCTATTTACCTTGCAATATGTATTCTCAAAATACATGAGGCATATAGCTAACTTGACTAACGTGAAAGCTCTACATTCGTGATATGTCTCAATATCCTGGTTTATGCTGTAACTATTGCCATTCCCTTTGAAATAATAAAATTTTGAAAATTACTCACGCCATCACAATGACACTGAAATCCAGCCAGTTCCATGGATCACGAAGGAATGTAAAACCTTCTAAACAAAACCCTCTTGCCAAGATTTTTATAAATGACTCAAAGGTATAGATCCCAGTGAATGTGTACCTAGGAAAAGCATCCAAACCAAAATTAATAATTTAATTTGAACTGTTAAAACACATGTTTTCAAGTATATGAAATCCTTCTTGTGTGTGTGTTTTTTTTTCAATTCACTAAACTTTTATTCTGGATTTCTATGTCAAAGAATCTTCTAGTCTAATTAATCTTATTAGACTAAGTAAAAGGTTAAAGTGAAGAGAAAACATATTCTTCAGGCATCTGTTCTTGTTATACTTTTTGGATTTTAGAAAAACAGTTTCATGTATTTTGTGGATAATCAATAGGCTTGATTCTCTAGAACAGAAATGTCCAACAGAAATATAATGTAAGCCACAAAGGTGATGTGCTATTTCCCAGTGGCCAAATTACAAAGTAAGAAGGAGCAAGTGAACTTAATTTCCATGTTATATTTTGATGAAATCAATATATCCCAAATATCATCATTTCAAAAGCTAAAGCTAGCCAAATTCAATAGCAACATGAGGCTGATGACTCCTTCATTGGACAGAACTCTACAGGCAACATAGCTTGGATTCACTTGTATGAAAATGTTTCTATTCAAATTTCATAATGATTAGATTCATTTTAGGTTTATTTTATGTGTCTTTATATGGAAAATATACTTCATTTTTTGTCATTAAGGGTCAGGCATAATTATAAAACTACCCACCTCTCCTGTCTCTTTCTATCTCACCATACATAATTGTATATATATGTTTACAGTCACAAGAAATGATTCGGTTCTCTGGTATGTTGTATGTGTCTATATTTATATAGTTACCAAAATTCACAGCTAAAAAAAATTCTTTTCATCAGCTACTATCTCTTTTCAACTCACTGGGTCAAATCATTTAATTCTTGCTTAAATTCCAATTTCAGCCTCCAAAATGATGGAAGACTTTTGTTTGCTATTCAATGTAGTTCATTTTTTCTTTGAGCATTGACAATAAAGTTATTTTTGTTTCTGTTTCTTCCAGAAATAGTTGAGGTTACTCATTTTTAAACATTTTGTTCTTTAAAAGTCCAATCTCAGTCTATTTTTAAGAATACTTCACTCAACTCACAAAGATTTCATTTGCTCTTATTAAAATCCATTGTACCCTCCAGTCTACCAGTGTGTCATATGTGCATAATGTTGGGATAGGTATTTGTAACTTTCTTCTGCAGAAAGTTTTCTCATGTGACGGAACAAAGAAATCGGAGAAAAATGTATGCAGAAAGATTCACATCCTGTTTTCCTAAGTATATTCTCTTCCATTTTTCTTGACAACTCAATTGTTTCAGGAGCAATAAGTATAATTCCTATCTTTGCAAAATTACGAAGTAGCTGACTACTAGGAGAATATGTATTTGACAATCCCAAACTTATATGTGTACTTGCACTTTTGTTTGGATCATTGTGTACTAAATATAATCACTATGACATTTCTATTTGGAGAGATATGTGTTCTTTTAAAAGGACTTAGAGACACATTACATATATGTGCTATTTGTCATGTTAGGGGTTAATGCTCTTATCTATTCTTAGGCAGTTTGTGAAATTACTCTCAGAGAGATTAAAGTATTCTGATCTTGTTTTAGGAAATGTAATCTATATGGGGACATACAGTGTAGGTAGTACATGAAAGACATTTAGAACTGAACTATGAGAAAGAGCTTTACATAGAACAGGTATTCAAAGTGCTTATTAACAAACTAGATTGGACAGGTATGTAGGAATTAGGAGACCTGGATCTTTCTTGGCTCAACCCCTACTACACTCCTAATCTTGCTCTCTCTTCCATCCATGTGACAGGATTGTTTTTATTTTTATTATTCTTTTCTTCTGTGATTATGGAATCTATAACAGGGCCCTACCTTACATAACACTCTCCTCACTATACTGTATCATCCTGAGGCTATTTGGGGTATGTCACATCTTTGTACAGGGACCATTTCCAATTTCAATGGCTTCTGTTTTCATCTCAGAACTGAATTGTTTTCTCTTCTCATTGGACTCTAGGTTTTTGTTTTTGTTTGTTTATGCAGTAACCACTACTGTTTTGCTTGTTTTCCTGATACCTTTCTGTCCAGCTACTTGAGATAATTGATCAGAAAAATTGCACAAAATTTTCTAACTGAAAAATGCAGTTCAAAATTTCTGTAATGCTGACTATTTCATAATGGGTTAAAATGTCTGTACATTAATACAATTCTGTTAAAGTATATATATATATAAAATACCACCTTTACCTATTTTTCAGTAATTTAATACAAATAAATGAAATTTATACAGGTTTAAATGCTTCAATAATTCCTGCTGGGAAAGAACATACAGAAGTTTTATATAGCTGTGTCTATTTTGTTAACTCCAGAATCACAAATGGTAACTAATAGCTCTGTTAAATGGCCTGCCTCAACAAAAGAACTGGACTCTTTATGACAAGACCTTCTAGAAAGCATTTTCAAACTACTATTTTTAAAAAATTTTTCAACATGTTAAATCACTGACAAACAGTGGCTTAGAATAGAATATTAAATTCTAATAGAAATCTTCAAAAATGGTTAGAAATAAAAAATGACAGTGTTTGCTTTAATATTTTATTTCCATTGGACATTACTTTATAAAAATAAAAAGTGTATTCAAATTTTCACTGAATAGATCAAATATCTGGCCATTGTATTATACTATACATAAATAGTCTATATGACCTAAATAYCTTCCATTTCCCTAAAAAGCATATTTCTTTGACATAAGCAATCTCATATATGACTGACAAGAGAATAATGTGATAATATAGAAATTGTGCTGCTTCATATTAATGTTTTGAAACAATGAGGAACATTTTATTTTCTAAAAGTTAAATAGAAAATCTCTAGAAATTAAAAGTACTTTAAAGTGAAAGATCAATGGAAGCATTTCTTTTAGTGCATATAAAGGGCTAGGTTAGGGACCTCAAGAAATAACATGTTTTGGTTTTCCTATTGATTCTGTTAAAATACTGAATCAACTGTTTTAACAAATGTTTAAACAGCTGCCCCTGATCTTTGTCTCAAAGGGAGAAAGAATGAGACAGCCAGGATCTGAGACTGCTCAGGACTATATCTATATGTTAGAGTCTGTAAACAAGTCTGGATGGCGCCTGGCATTTTGCCAGAGGGAGTGGTTTGTGAAGTAACGCCATTAAGTGTGGAGATTCCTTATTGGTTGACTGATGTATCTAGTTTATGCTAATTAAGATAAGCTGTGTGGAATGTATAAATACCTCTGTTGTCCTACAATAAACGGCTCCTACTCCTGCTGTATCAAGGTACACAAGTTGTTCGTCACTCCCTGGTTATTTTGCTGCAGCCGGACTGCAGCATCTATAATGTGTAACAATGATTGAATCTTAAATTTAAGACGTAAATGATTGGTTTAGTGGATGCTAATTGATAGCCTCTTTTAAATGGGTACTATCATGAATTTGTTGGGAAAAAAAAACTTACCTCAAAGAAGAAAACCTCCCCCAAAGAACATTCCTTATCTTCTTTCATATTATGGAAATATAACTTTTCTTAGAAGTATTTAGCCTGACTTCAAAAAGTGGAAATGGTAAGTCAGACCATAACCACAAGGATAGAGCTAGAGAATACATGTGTGCATTTCTCATTCCAGTAAGTTTTTCCTACTTACTCTACATTCTTTGTCCAATCAGGAGGGTTACTCAAAGTCATGAATACACAGTTGGTCAAAATAGTGCACATGATAAGCATGCTGAATAAGGTAGATTATAGTTAAGGAATAATTGTTAGTTTGTTTTCATGGATATTTAAAAATGATCCAACACACACACACACACACCACCACCACACCAAAATTTATCAACACAATGTAACTCGAAAATCAATCTTACTTATTAGTATTAAGACAATGGTAAAAATAATAATAAACTCTAAAGCCTGTCACATGGTCTTGGTCTATTCTTTTTGAAATTTTACATCATATGCTCACAAAACTGAATTAAGTATTTGAAGCAAATGAGAAATATTTTTCATTCAAGTCAGTTCTGTGAAGTTGTAGTAGAAGGGTAACTCACCATTTTTTAGGTTTATAGTATGATATAAGTGGAATCATTGCACTTCTGATCTAACTAAAAAACTCCATGGGGACAATAGGTTAACGGATGCAATATACAAACCTGAGAAATATAAGCACAATATTTTCAAAGATCACCTTGAGAACTCCACTGTAGGGAGATTCTCCTTGTAGTGATGTAACTCATTCCTTTATAATTTACAACATAATAAAATTTTGTGTCAATAAGATAACATTATTTGCTAATGTTTTTGTTTTCACTTTAAACTCTAGGGGAACCCAAGAGGCCATCTAGCTATCCTCCTGCATCTGGTCCACATCATTCCAAACCAGTAAAGAAGTGTTGTGAAGAATCAATTGTAATCATTTCTTTTGGTATTTCAATACAGACCTCACTGCAAGAAGTTTATGATTATATTGAGATAAATATCGTATTAAAAAATATACTTTACTTTCCAATATAAACCCAGAATGAGAGAATTCAAATGCCCTTCAAAAGGTTGTCAGTCCCATTTTCTCTGTCTCTAGGTGAACCGGTCTTTTAGTTTATATATAAGCCTGTTTTGAATTTTCCTATATAAAAGCCCATTCTTAAACAATGCCTGAATCAAATCACCTTTCTATTTTATCATTTCTTAAGTATCTATTAGAATCTACACCTAGTTTTATATTCTTCCCCTTCACAAAATTCTTTTGACTGAAAATGTAAATAGTTTCTTTTTTTGATAGTGCTGGGGATCAAATCAAGGGCCATGTGTATATGTGCATAATAGAAAGCACTCTACTAATGAGCTACAGTCTCAGACTACGAATAGTTTTAACAAATATGAAAAAAATAGTTTTTCATATATTATCAACCAGATACAGAAGCACAATGAAAGTTTAATAAATATTTACTAAAGGAGGAATGAAAGAAGGAAAAGAGGAGAATAGACTCAGGTGCCAAGATATATAGCCAATTAAGGTACAAAAGTTTAAACATTTATCAGGGTGAAATGGCAAAGTCTTGTAATCCCAGCAATTTGGGAGCTTGAGGTAGGAGGATCAAGGCCAGCCTAAGAAACGTAGTGAAACCCTCAGCAATTTGGCAAGACCCTGTCTCAAAATGAAAAATTAAAAAGGGGTTGGGGATGCAGCTCATTGGTAAAGTGCCCTGGGTTCAATGCTCATGCCCCCAAAAGAGTTTGAGCATTTAGTAAAACAGATAATAATATTAACCACAATAAATTATGTTTTTTAGCAAAGGTTATATATTATTTAATTAAGATTAGTTATTTAATTAAAATTAATAAAAGTCTGAAGGGGATCAGGTCTTCTACCTACTATACAAATATTGTTCATTTACACATGAATTCATTCCACATGAATTCACTACACTGTTTTCAAATTTACTTCAAGAATTATAATAATGATTCTATAATAATCTTAATTACATAAAGTTTCATGCTAAAGCCAAAGGCAATAAACCAATTAAACTAACAATCCTACCATTAATCTCAAAGAAATTTTATGAGGATTTTGCAATAAAGGTGACATTTTCTTTAAAATTTTCTTTTTAGAAATAGCACTTGGACAATTCACATTAAAAGGATATGAGTGTACTAAAATCTTAATAGCGATTTTCCTTACAGGGTTTAATGGAGTTAAAATATACAAGGCAGAGGTGGCACTGAATCGGAAAATTGCCTTCCCTTTATTCAATACTATAAAAGTCTGAAAAAGAAAACATGAGAAAGAAATTGTTAAATTAGACATGTGGCTTATTTGAAGAGTTGATATACATCAAAAACTTTTTTTCTGATGTGTTTGTTCAAACTTATTTGTTTAAACCATTATAAACAGGTAAAGTATACATGTTAGGTGTTTCTCCCATAAATTAACATAAAATTATCTATAAAATACACTTTACTATTATCTAATCTGTCTCTAAGGTTCCAACTTGCTGATACAAACTGATAATCCTACACAAAATTTTTTTAGCAAATTATAATGTAGCTTTACAGATTTCAATTCTATTTAAAGCTTGCCATCTGTCTCCAGTTTTTGGTAACTTTTCAGATTATTCTGTACACAATGCTATTAAAATAGTGTTTTTCTAGATATTTTAATTAAATCAAATCTTTTAACTCCAAAATGTGTGGTGGCTTCCTATTGTCCCTTTAGTTGTTCTCTTCTTTTAAAAATTGTTCAAGTGGGTTGAATTACCTGGCTTTGCTGATTCTGCACATCAGCTGGGAAGGGATCAGCTTCCCAGCTAATACTGAGAAGGGACAGCTGCATTGAAAATTAACCTGAAAACATCACTTTGAAGGGCATTCCATAGCTAAGGTTCTATGATCTGAAAGCTATAATCATCAACCTAGCATCTAAACTATGCTGCCCGGTGATTGCCAAATAAGTCAGTCTTGGATCATCTTTTCTTTTCTCCTGTAAGAGTCATCTCAGCTTCAGCCAATTCAATCCACTCTTCAGTCCTACTCACAACCTGTCAAACTCTCCCTCTGACTCTGAAAATGAGTGTCACAGAATCTTAGAGAAAGGTGGAACCCGAGAGGTCATTTAATGAAAACTCCCTGCCATTTCAGGAAGACATCTCCAGGACAGATTTGACAGTAATGTCCCACTTAAATTGACCCACTATTATATCAGTGGCTCTTTAAAAATCTTGCATGCCAAAATGTGCTGGAGAGAATTTTAAATTGCTGAAATTTAAGTCTCACATCAGATCAACTGAATCAAAAATTTTGCAGAATGGGCACAGATGTGGGTATTTTGGATGCTTTCCTTGAGTGATTCTGTGATTCTAACGTGCATTTGGGGTTGATAAATCCTGCTCTCTGGGCATGTCCTCAGCTGTCAAATTACCTCCTTCCTCACATCTTTCCCAACAAATCACACTGTTTCTGACCACTCCTTAATTGCTTCCTTTACCACTAAGTCTTAGTATATAAATTTGCATTCTTTTGCATGTTGCATGTAACCAGAATTCAAGCAGCAATTTCCTTGGGAGCCTTCATTCTAGGGAGGACTAGGTTAGATGTAGTTGTACACCACTGAGCACAAAGAGTCTGTAATTGACTTTTCCATTTCTCCCTGCAGTATTTAATAGCATAGTTTTAAACTAAACACTTGTTTTAATTGAATATGGGTTTACTTTAAGATGCTATTCACCTTTATGACATCTGTTCTCTGTATTGATTTACTTGATAATATGTTTTTACCCTTTAACTATGGGCTATATCCCATATATTCATGTTCACTGACGACAAGCTCTGTTTGAATAGGTAGGCAGAAATATTTGTACTGTGGGCATAAGGAGCAGGGAAAACATGTTCTCTGTTCTTCGCCCTTTACTGTTAAAGACCTTGGAGCCAACCATTACTTAACTAACCAATTTTAATAAACTCCCACAAATTCTATGAAGATGGCTAGTAAACTAACCTTTACTAGCAAGATTACAACTAGGATTATCTGCAGGGTCAGTGGACTTTGGGAAGACTTCCCTTGAAGTGCAGGATTGTCTTGATTTCAAAGGATTAGATCATTAAATCTTGCAGTTAAACAATCAAGATCAATTTAGGCATTCAATGACAGCAATAACATGTAAAAGTTCACTATACTTTAAGGTGCATTAATTCATGCTTTTCAAACAATTTCCATGAAAAGGAAATTTTTACTTGCAACATTAGAGAAGGACTTTGTTTTGAAATATCACCAAAAACAGAGTGAGCAGGAATTAAATGTCCTTTAAAAAATGGAACCCTCTGCTACTCCTGCAGGATTAGCCTGTGTAGTACTAGTGGAATTAGGCTAACATGCCAAGAGCATCTTTATTAAATTTATGTTCTGGAACAGGGAAGACCTTAAGAACATAATCCCAGTTCATTTCTGGAGAACAAAACCCAACATAAAACCTTCAGTTATGAAAAATTAGGAATAAAATATCAATGTCCTAGATAATGTAAGAATTACAAGAAAAACATTTGAAACTTAGGGCTCTGATATTATTAAACTATGTACACAAACTGGAAATTACCTGAGGCAATAACAGATGATTGGGTGGATTAGTGCCAACTTTAAAGTCAGGTTTTCAAATAGTGATAAATAATGGTGTGCCTATAGAAAAAAATAGTTCCCGTTGCTACTACATTGTAAGTACCATATTTGGAACTATATTACAGTTGTTGTTTTCTACTCTGGAGTACTATTTGCTTCTTTTTCTCAGGCAAATGCACAGCTTGTAAATTCACTAAAATTTTTGCTACTTTGAAGCAAGAGTAAGCTTTACATCTCAATGAGTAGGACCACATCAATTATAGAGTTTTAAAAACACAATACAACCAATTTTTTTCCACAAACCTTTTACTATATTAATAAATACTCTATATAGTTAGTGGTTTAGAGCTCTGACTCTAGAGCTCGACTGTCTAAATTTGAATCCTGTATCCAACACTTATGGACTGTGACCTGGTAAGCTAATTTACCTTTTTGGGGCTTTACTTCCCTGTCTGTAAACTAAGGCTAACAACAGTAACCACTTCAATGGTGCACAGAATATTAAATGAGCAAAAGCACTCAAGTAATATTCAACACAGTATAAGCACAGCAAATATTAGCTGCTATTATTGTTGTCACTATCTCCACACTATCACCACGGTCAAGTTACATGCCATGAAAATGTACTGTGACGCCATCCATCCATATGTGGTACCAAACTATATCACTTATTAATGGCAGCAAACAGTCGCATTATGCTTTATGCTATTAAAATGCTCTTTGCTTGTATTATTTCATACAATTAAAATAGCTTCACGCCACAATCTTAAATTCTAGACTTTCTTCTATTAATTTCATTCCATTAACTGCTTCTATGCATCATTGTCTCTTTCTTTAGTAGCACCTCAATCTCCACCTTTACCAGTACTTCATCTATAACAGGAGTGATGCCAACAGTAAAGAGCCTGACTAGAGATCTCCTAAGAAGGGTCACAGCAAAACTGGGAATAAATCATGACCCAAGTCTAGTTCTCAGCTCTGGAGGTAATAACAACTGGTTTTGTCAGCATAAAGAGAGCAATTCTGTTTTCTAGTGGCAGACTCATATTAACCAAACTTGAAAGCCTGACACATAAAATCAGATGCCAATCTATTTACAGTGAGATATATTACTTTCACATGGACTAAAATAATTACAATGGCATAACCAGAACATTCTTTCCTTTCAGCAGATCTATGGGAAAACCAATTATAAACAGAAGTTTCTTGCTGAGCTTTGACTCAAAACCAGCTGATTTAATCAAATGATGCAGAATGTTTTATGTCATCTATTAGGCTAGCCCAGGGTAGCCCCTGCACAATGAGCTGGCCCTGCCCTTTCGGTGCTACTGAGAAGGTCTGTCTCCCTTGGATGATGTTTACCCTATTATTCTCCTTTCCCCTACCCGCCACTCCCCATGATCCCACCAAGCTGAAATTTCCTCTTCTTAAGTAGAAAATATTTTTAACTATGTCAGAGTGAAAAATGTCCCTGTCTCTCGAGGATATCTTTTCAAATACTTTAGATCAATAGTTCTCAGAGGAGAATTTTTTTTTTTTCAGTTTCTTGGGAGACGTCTCATTGTCATCACCATTTATAATAATACTGTAACTTAATTTCAGAACTTTGTTTATCAACTCTGCAGTACAGTACTGAAAAAATATTTTAGGTGTGTATGATTATGTAATTAATGCCATCTTTTCTGAAACTAGTTTAAAAAGGGGGGAAAAAGAACCTGCTTAATTGTTTTCACTTGTTTTTATGATCTTAAATAAAACATTTGAAGGCTTGCTATTCAAAATGTGATTTATGTCCTGGCAGGATAGGTATCATATCACCTGATGGTTTGTAAAGAAAGGGAGAATCTCTGGCTCCACCCCAGCTTGTGGAATCAGAATCTGCATATTAATAAGATTTAGTGGTGACCTATGTGTTCAGGCAAGTTTGAGAAGTACTCTTTTAAAGCAAGAGGCTAGTCTGCATCTGAATGATTAACTGTCATTTCCTTTAGCTAGCCTTTATTTTGTAACTATAAATTGAATATTGCTTAAAGAATGCAATTTCTCAATCATTGCTTTTTAAAGGGTCTGCTTTGACTAAAATAGGTATTCAACATCTTCCCTAACCCATAAGTTACCAGCTCATAGTGATATTAATTTACCCTGAGTTTCTATATTGAAATATTTTTATGCATGTGAAGATAACATAAATTGTGGTTATAAAATGCCAAAATACCCAGTTAGAAATCATAGCACCTCAATTTGTTCTTTTAATATTTCCTATAAAATATCACCAAGCTTGTTTAACTACAGAAACTAATTCTTACAGAACATTTAACCTTCAGAGGTAACAGTCATAATGGTTACTTTTTTGTTGTTGTTGTTGTTATCAGGGATTGAACTCMGGGCATTCAATCACTGAATCACATTCCCAGCCCTATTTTGTATTTTATTTAGAGACAGGATCTCACTGAGTTGCTTAGCGCCTCCCTGTTGCTGAGGCTGGCTTTGAACTCAAGATCCTCCTGCCTCAGCCTGAGCTGCTGAGATTACCGAATGTGCCACCACACCCAGCATAATTGTTGCTCTAAGTCATGTATAGATGAAGAAAACTTGAATGTTTTATTTGTTTTAGTTTGGGTATTTTATTTTACTTTTAATCTTGACAATTCCCTCCCCCCAATAGTGTTTTAAGCATATATAGTATTCCAAATACAGCATAAGAATCTTGGTATGGTTAAGATTAGCTCTTAATCCTATTCCAGGTTAGTGGGTGGAAAACAAAAATATATGTCCTGGTGAACCTGCACTTCCATGTATTATCTGCCTGTAGAAGAGTGTTAAGTAGATGATTATTACTGTCCACTAGAAACTTCAAGCCAAATAAGAACTAAAAAGCATACCATAGACCCATAGTTACAGTTTTCTTTTCTTTTGCACAGCTGTTTGGTTGTCTATTGTGTGCTTAATTATGTTAGCAGTAGCAGATATTTAGCTTTGCTGGTGTCGATTTTAAGTTTAATTATTTATTTCAATTATTGAGAATTGTAGAAATTGTTATTTATTCCTATTTCCTCAGTGTGTAATCAATTCTTTATTTCTTATAAATGTTTCTGTTTATTGTACTGTGCATAGACGTAAGTGGCAGTAAAGAGTATTATAAAATCTTTCACAGGAGAAAAATCATGGGTGTCATATGTATATAAGTCCYAGAAAAGGATATCAATGCTCAATGCTTAAAGACACGTTACAAAATCAACACTCACTTTCTTATTGATATAGTAGGGGTCCAGGTCCTCCAGGGGCTCTGACACCATCTCTGGAGGAATGTCTCCGTAAATAAATGGAAGGTTCTTTCCAGCTTCCAAGTCACTGTTTGGCTTTGGTTTGTTCTCATCATCATTGTCTTGTTCTTTCTTGGGCTTCTTGGCTTTCTCTTCTGCGGCACGTTTTTCGATAGCAGCAAGAGATTCTCTAGTGAAAAGGCGGAAGCTTTCAGGTCCTGGGGGTACCAGCAGTGCCTGTGCCATCTTTTCATCCTGCACATTTAATTACGTTTAGCTTCTTGCATAAGAATTGCCTACAATAAATGAAAAAAAAAATGCACGAAAGTTAGGAGAGAAAGTGACAAAGAGGGAACAAGAAAATCAACCCGAATGTCATTTTAAAAGTAATTTTTAAATGACCACAAGTCATGCTTTCAGTGTTATACTACAAATTCAAAGTCAGAAACATCATCACCTGATCTAATTTTTAATAATTCAACTTTGCAGATCTACTCAAATTCTGTTCCGAATGTTAATCAGCTTGATTTAGCCATTTTACAATGTTGCTATATTTCAAAATATTATATTGCACACAATAAATATGCAGAATTTTATTTGTAAGTGAAAGATAAAAAAAATCTTACAAATAGCCTATTCTGAGACTATTGTGCCAAAACATATTATAGTACTTTTTTGATAAAAGAGTAATACCAGTAATACTTGTCGATAAAATTGTTTAAAATCCCATTCTCCCTCTCCACCAATGCACACACTCTTTTTTTTTTTTTTCACAACTTACTAACTCTTCATATAAAAAAGTACTGGTAACAATGCAATGATTTTGATACATGCCTGACTCAAATATCAGGATAAGAAAGGAATTATTTGTCTAACCCAATCACTGCTCTGGTGGTCAGCCACATTAACTGCAGCACCACAAAATATCTGATCAACAGTAGCAATAAGGAAGCTACTGCCTTCCCCAAATAATTTGTCCATCTTTGGTTAGTATTCTCTTGCTTTTATTAAGTCAAACTTTTTTTTTTTTTTTTTTTAGCTTCCTGATTATTATTCTTCCTGATTCGTCCAGTTGCGGTCGAGGCTAAAAGAATGAACAATGAGGCTAGACTCCCTCTGTTCTAAACCTTGGCCCTGCCACTCTTATSAGATATGTGATCTTGGAAAACTACCTCCTCATTGCTTCAGTCTTCATCTATGAAATGGGAATAATAGGAAAACTGATGACCCAGGATTGCAAGGAACAATCAAGTTAATTAATGTTGTGTCTAGAATAGTTTCTGGAGTTAATAATCACTGTATTATAATCAATGATCATAATTGAATTATCTTCATTTTGCCAGGCATTTCTCTTCTCTCATGGCTTCAAGCATCCTCATAATTCAAACCATTCTCCTTCAAACAAGCTCTTAATGTGCTGGGACCACAACAGACCCTGGAGCTTCAGGAAGGCCCTGAGGAGTGCAGAATATAGGGGCATTTTCATACATGCMTGGCAACTGGCTGAGAAAGGAAAGGAGAGAAGGCAGACAGGTGGAGGGGCCCTTTAATTTTCCAGGGAAGGAAAAAAAATATGTCTGCAGAAAATGTGACAGGACTGTCAAAACTATAGGAAATCAGTTATGTGAATGTTCAATCATAAGTAGCAGTTATTATGTTTTTTATTATGACAAAACTCACATTTAAAAAAATCAAGATAGGAAATAGAAAACAACAATAAAAACAAAACATGATGAGCACATCGATCGTCTTGTAAAAGGATCTACAAACTATGGTATCAAAATCATTGTTAAAGCCATTGTGACTTTTTTTCCCACCTTAAACCATCTCCCTCCAGCCTCAACATTTGTTCTAGTCTCCATAGTACTTTGTCCCTGAGTGGCCTTCTAATTTCCAGCAGTTYACTGAATGCATATACTGAGTTTACAACGAGAAAACATGGATTCTTTAGTAATATAAAAAATATGTATATAAATTACTATATATTTTCTGAGATTACATCTGAATTTATAGATATAAACTATATCTATTACTGCATGTAGTATTGATTGTGTGTTGCAATGACAGCAAACATTTTTAATATTAGGTGTGTCTATATAATTTTTATGATATTATCATATTATGATATAAAGTCTGCCAAAAAGTTACTGCAATTTTCCTGTTAATTTTATAGAAGAACTCATGTTTTGCGGTTCTGTATTTTTTAAAAATTATCGATTAGCACATGAATTAGAACGTCTGAGAACAATTTTATTTTACTCCAAAAAAATCAATTAATCATATTTTTGGTGTGCTTTTTAAATCTGTGGAAGACAACACAACATTGAACTAATGTCTTCACCCATCTCATGTCAATTTTGATGGTCACACTTCGGTCAACTCAACACCAGGCTGTGTACTTTCAAATGCAGGACAAGTTTGAGCATTTTCTACAAATCTCAAAGACCTAAAGATGTGCCATCCACCTGTCTCTCATCACCTGTCACAAATTGAATGCCTGTGATTCTTCCAAGTGCTAAATGAGAATGCAACAGCATGACAAATATGACTTACAGAAATTCTCTGCAAGACGCTTACTTTCTTAGGAAATAAGAAAGGCTGTGTTTGTATTTAAGCATTTAGTTGAATTGATTTTGGTTTCCTTATTAGCAGTAAACTGAAAAACATGCAGAAATTGGAATGGGAGATTTGGGTTAGCATTGAGCCTGCCGAGGACACTTTGCCTGTGTCACTGAAACTTGCAAAACCTCAGCATCATCAAAGTACTTCATCACAAAGGTGGCAATACTCTGAGATAGAGATAAAAGGCTGACATTTCACTTAATTGGAGACTCCTTATTCCTAAAGTTTCAAAATAAAATTAGATTTAAAATATCAACCATGGAAATCTCTTAACAGATTATGATGTCTCTAAAGTGATGCAGACAAATATGCCATCATAAAATCATAAACATTTATTGTCAAAGAAATAATCATGTATCTTCTTATTTATTTATCAAGGGATACAATAAACAATTTGATTCTTGGTTAAAAGGAAACAAAAAAATCTCTGTGAAATTCTCAGAATATTGTCTCTAAATCCTGAGCAGACAGGCTACCAGACTCTCAGCTTTTCCCCTGTAAGGGGAATTGGGGCTTTTCATTGTTTGCGTAGGCTTTGACTTTAAAGAACTCAGTGGGCAGAGTTTCTCATAGCTTCATCTATAGCTTTGCTGTTCAGAAATCTGTCATGGTTCTTTGGCAGTTCTGTTTTAATTTTTCTCTCTTCTTTCTTGTCTTTTGTGAGSTTATTATACAGAGCTCTTACATAACTTTATATTCACATTAGAACAGACTTTTAAAAATTAATTCATACTGACGTCTTGGTATGGAATATGTATTATTAATGGGTATATGTGCATTATGATTTATTAAAATACATCATATTTAATATACTAAAGTTTCTCCAGAAGTCTCTTTTCAAGAACAAAAAAGATAAGGAAAAAAATCTGAGGATATGACTCTTTTGATTAAAAAATGAAGAGCCTGGATGCCTGTAATCTCAGCTACTCGGGAGGCTGAGGCAGAAGCATTGCAAGTTCAAAGCCAGCCTCAGCAACTTAGTGAGGCCCTAAGCAACTTAGCAAGACCCTGTCTTGAAATTTAAAAAAAAAAAAAAAAGTAAATAGGAGCTGGGGATGTGGCTCAGTGATTAAGTACCCCTGGGTACTTAACAAAACAACTACAACAACAAATCAAAAACCCTTCGTGCATGATTGTGTGTGTGTAAGCAAATGCATCCCTTTATTATTTAATTAAAAGATTGTGATTCAAGATCTCTGCTATAGGAATCAACTATTGAATTTCAAACTTGGAAGAAACCTTGGGGGATTGTTTATTCAAGAATATTATTGAAGGTCTGTTATGTATCTAAACTGCTTGAACCAGGCTTTGATTGTCCCTCCTTCTAAGAAGCTGATATTCCAACAGGGAAGACTGATGCTTTTACAAATTATTATAATACAATTATGCACAGCTGGTTATTATCTGAAGTCATTAAAGTGTTCGATTTATTCTGCCCAAGGAAGGAAAGAAGAGTTACAGTTCAGGGAGTTTCCCTGGGAAAGTAGTATTGGAGTACATTTTGCTACATGGAACTTGACCAGGGTTGTTGGTGGTAGTAGTAGGAGAAGAGATGTAGGAAGACATATCAATAGAGACACACTAAACAGAGGACTGCATGTGTGTGGACACAGACAAGAAAAGTGTAGAGAACTATAAGCAGTTTGTTATGGGTGTACATCAATCTGCACAAAAGGAGGTGGGGTGAAATAGAGCTGGGATGTTAGGCAGGAGAAGTCACCAAGGGTCTTTATAACATACTAGGGTAAAGCATGAAARAATAGTGACATGGTCAACTTGAAGACTGAAAATATGGCAGCAGTATGAAGGGCAGGCAGGAAGGGTGTAGTCCTTAAGCAATAGTTTTCTTTAGTTTCCATGTCCCTTAAAAATGAACAGGGATAAAAATATAGTTCCTTTCAGGTAATATTCTTCTTTGATAATACATCAAGATTCCAGAAATGATTATTAAATTTAGTTTCAATGCGGAATCTGAAGCCATGTCCATAAACTTTTGATCAAGCTTGCCTTTTGAATGCATCTTTTATTTAATTATGCATGATTCTGTACCATCATGCATGGGTCATTTGGAAATTATCAGTTCATTGGTATGCAGATCTTCCAAGTTTTGGCAAATTTCATCATATAATACCCAGGAATCACATTTGTTAATATTGCCAGTGATGTCATGAGAAAAGCCATAATGTCTTGGAAGGCTGTCAGGCTCCCAGTAGCAGGTGAAAGTTTTGCAAAATTCCAATTTCCACTTGAAAGCTCCAGTTCTAACATTGGCAACAAATGCTGTCATTTGCTTTTCCCAAAGTGACAGGCTTTTCCTTTGTTCATTTTTGAGAATATATGTGCCAAATAACCAAGTCTGAATAACCATCGTTTGTCAGTTATTCTTTCAAGTGAAAATGGTGTTCCATGAAAAAAAAATAAAGTGACTTATTCAGCTCCTGACTCCAATAATCACACAAATGTTTCTGAGAGAACCATGGTGCTTCAACATGCTCCAGAAATACTTTATGTACTCTTCCACTTTCATCACACAGAATAATACTAAAAATGTGTACTCTTTAGGGTTGAAGTTTAACAAAATTAATATTAACTGTTTCATCAGAGATTTCACGTGTGAACTGGCA